AACTAATTTCTTGTTTAGTTAAACTCAAAACAATTTCAAATGCTCACAATAAAATTTATTGTCAATAAATCACAATAAATCATTCAAACTAAGATCATACAAATAGCATATAAATAAACAAAATATGAACAATATATCATCTCTTTAATTTGTACACAAATATCACAATAAAGTACCAATATCATAATATGACCTCTTTTTTTTTTGCTATTCTATTGATATGAAAATAAATTATATTCACAATTCATATTCATAAATATGCAAGTAAATTGGCACAATAAATTAACATTTCAAAGTGACCAATAACTACTTTTAATGTTTATCAATATCTTAATATCAAATACTTATAATAATATATTTCTACCAATCAATCACAAGAAATTTAAAATAATATTATATAACCTTTTGGATATAGCTTTCTAGGCTAATAATTATATTTTTCAACTTTGACTAATTTGAACATATTTCTCTATAAGACATTACCTTGGACATTATAACTACATTTTCATACTTTTCATAATATCTCTTGATCTTTTGATTTCATAACCAATTTTAACATTGTCTATATGACTTCAGGTCATATTATGATATTTACTCATAATTGTTTTTGACTATAGAGGTATCAATATCTCCTCAATTATGGTTTAATAGCTAAAACCAAATATTATTGCCCTTTAATTATTAATTCCAACGGTACAATGTGGGCATGCTCTTTATCACTCTTATAGACATGTTCCTTACTTTCAGCAGCACATAATCAATTTATTCAAATATTAGTCTTCAGGACTATAGTAAAAATCTTTCAAATAAAGCTCTTTTATGCCATTTGATGTTTGAACTATTAGCCTTCAAGGCTTTGATACTTGTCACAATGTAGCCTTCAGGGCTTCAATACTTGTCACCATGTAGCTTCCAGGGCTTTGATATTTGTCATTATCAAATCATCAAAGTGCCATAGATTTTTCTTGTCATTCCATTTAAAAGCATCCATAGTGTTCTTTCACAAAAAACAATTGCAAAAGTAATATGACTTCTGGTCATCTAATCACATATGGCTTCTAGCCATTTAATAAAATGAAATTAAATAATATCGTAATGAAATAAATTAAATAAATTAAAATTCATAATCAAATATAAATAACATTATATAATCATATATATAATACTGCGACATAACATAAACCAAACAGATATATGTAAACAAACAATAGAACAAGAAATATGGAAAAATAAATAAAATAAACAACACAATATCACAATGGGGAGATAATAAAATTAAAATGTATAAAAAGAATAAATTAATAAATAACATAAAAGAACAACATAATATATAGCAAATATATAAAAAATTAAAATTAGACGTGATAATAAGATAAAAAGAATAATTGGGTAAGGAGAAGTTAGTAGAAAGTATTATCATATACTATAAGAATATATTAATTTACAAAGGGCTCATACCTCAAATCTTCAGAGCAAACTCGTGCTGATAACGTGTTATAAAAAATGAGAAAAGTACAAAGATTGAGATGAGGGAGATAGAGAAAATAAGAGGAAATTGGAGGAGAAATTAAGGGGGAGTTCTCATTCACTTCATTGTCTCAAATGTGTGTACATCATCTCCTATTTATAGGACCCCAATATTGAAGACTAACCTAAAGAGTTACAAGTACATAAAGAAAGGAATTAAGCAACATAATTGTACAATTGGAGGTTATAGGAAATCAATACTTGAAACCCTTCAATTTGGGAGTTATAAGGTATAATGCCATTAACCATAAGAAGGAATCCCAAGGGGTTAAGGAGTTGTGAACATCCACACAACATAATGTTTACAACATAATTCATGTTAAATAGTTTGTTGACAATCAAGTTTTTTAACGTTTCTTCATTTTAAACAAAAAATTACACATATATCGATCACTTAGATTCATTGAATAGTCATTTATTTTTCTTAAGGTAAACTTATGTTATTAATTAAAAGCAAACCATAATTTATAGAAAAATATATAAATTAACTTTTTTTTCTTCTCATTTTCCCATGAACACGCTCTTATTAATTATGTAAATAACAACTAAAACTTTTGTACTTTGTCATATATATTCTGAGTTTCTAAAAAGGTTTCTTATAAATTAAAAGCAATATGAAAATCAAACGGTTGGTCTTTTGTGATGGTGAAGATGCTTCTAGCTACTTTGAACTCCTCCTTTTGTTAAAAAGCCTGAAAAAGTGTTAATTTAAAGGAAGAATAATTTCAATAATTAGGAAATGTTATTACATACTGGGGATATATAAGAGATAATGATGCCCTTGCCTTTAAAATTTCTCCTTTAGGGTAAATTTTTTTTTTTAAAAAAAACTTTATAATTAAAAGTTCTGTGACAGAATGTAATATTAATATATATATTTTTATCGTTGAGTCTTAACCAAACTATAAAAAGAGAATAATCTGTTAATAACATCATGAAATATAAATTACTTAATTGTCTTAAAAACTATAAATATCAAGTCTTTATCTTAAATAAATTAAACCATATATTCATATTGTATTTTATTTCAAAATTGAGAATAAGTACATGGGATGTATGCAAATTTTGAATGAAAACAATTTGCACTGCTACGCCGATACACTTTTTTTTTTTTGAAGTCAGATTGAGTTGGAAAATTTTATTTCGCATAGATTCAGATTATATATTTTATTATTTTCTAAAACGGATTAATTTTTTGTTAATGTCAGTTATAAGATTAAAAGTGAAATTCAACAATATGTAATTTTTGCATATTCTTCACGTCGGTTATACAGCCAATTAATTTTGGTATCCGTCATTCGTTTTTAAAATTTTTAACATCAATTCTCACCAATATAAAAAAGCAATGTTAACATGATTTTTTCCTAGTAGTGAGATCATGAATAATCTAAATCAAACATTAAAAACGTTGTATTACAAATAGACTGTGTAATTTCAGACTCCTTTAGTTCTATTTATAAGTTATTTTCAACATAACAAACTAAGAAAAAATTTTAAACTTTATTAACTTCGTTTTAAAATTCAATAATTTTTAATTTTATTTTTATGTAATGTATATTATACCTTTTGTTATATGTATATGTATTCTCTTATTAGAGGCAATGCTATTTGAGATACTATCTAGTATTAAATGTTAGCAACTCTTTAATAAGAATTCGAATCTTGATTCAGCATGTTATAAGGAATTAATTACTTTTCCTAGACCTAATCCCTATTAGTTAATAATTATATATCATGAGAACAAAATAAACAGGATAATAAATTAAAAATGAAATTGTATATAAAAATTTAATAATACGACCTATGAATAGGAGCAAAAATTCCTGCACTCTTTCTATAAATAATATCATAGGAGTATTATATTAGAATATCATTTATGGTTGATTGACCTCTATATTATTGGTATCATTTCATGTGCGAAGTGTGGAAGCTATTACTTGAAGCAGTAAGCTAGCATTTATATTGGTCAGTCATTTATTAATTATTAATTATTACCATGATCGCCAGAGAAGACAGACAATGTTTGTGTCCATTATTTAATTAATATTAATATTATTATAATGCCTATAACCTGTAATAATGTGAAACACGTTCACGATTTAGGAACCCGTCAAAGTTACAATTCAAATCTCAGTTCATGCCCTTGTCTCCTTGCGGGTGTTTTCCCAACTTCTTTTATATATATTTATAAATTTGCAAATTTTCTTAGTTGCCCAAATAGAATTCTCCATTAAGCTAATGGCAAATTTCAACAAATATTTTCTTGCGTCATCCCTGTCCAATACTATTCTTCCATTTCACATTAATTAAGTGAGAATTTTACTTGTCCCTCCACGTCTCGTATAACCGTTGTTTCTGATGTTCCCTCCACAGTACTTTAAATTGACCCCAGAAAATAAAAAGAAAAGTTCTTATGTACTCTTTCAGTTCTTAATATAAGACCTAATTGTTGAATTGATTTTGATCTTAAATATAAGACCTATTTATCATATTTTATCAGTTTTTCTTAAATTACCCCTATGGATACTCCCTCAACCATAATCAAGTAGAAGAGGGAGAGAGGATATTAAAAAAGATGATTATGATGTTTTAGGAAAAACATGTCATATTTCTTATAATTAACTAACTTACCTAACTTCATTAATCTAATCAAATTAGTTAAATAGGTCTTATATTAAATATCGTAAGAGTAATATCTGCTTCCTTAAATTTATATCCTTAATTAATTACTCATTCAATCAAATCAAAATAAGTAGTAGTATACTTTAAATTCAAATTAAGCTAACAAAAATTAGCACTCCTCCGATCCTTAATATAAGACCCATTTAACTAATTTAATTAGATTAAAGAAGTTAGGTAAGTTAATTAATTATAAGAAATGTGATATGTTTTTCTTAAAATACCATAATTATCTTTCTTAATACCCCCTCTTCTTCTACTTGATTACAGTTGAGGGAGTATCTATATGGGTAATTTAGAAAAAATTGATAAATATGAGAAATGGATATTATATTTAGACCTAAAACCAATTTAATAATTAGGTCCTATATTAAGGCCGGAAGAGTAACAAGTTAGCCGTGGGTTAATCGATTAAATTTCACTTACTTTGATTTGATTGGAAAAAATTCATGAGGTATATAACTTTTTTTGTAATATTAAATATATAAGTTCAAGTAAAGCTTAATTTTTGTATTGTATGTATATAAGAAGAGAAGGGTGCTATATAAGCTCTTGTCAAAGCACCTTGAATGATGAATTTAAATAACTTTTTATGCAACAAAGAAGGTCTTGAAATAAAAATATTGTAACACACAAAAAAAAATTACATGAGATACATTCGTAACATTCATTACATTTTAATTTCATCACTCGAAGTTTCGAACTTTTCAATATTCTTAAATTAATTCTGCAAATTAAAACACTCATCGCTTAAATAAATAAAATGGTAATTAAGGACCAAAATCTCAGGGACGAAAGAACAAAATCAACCCACTTAACTTTTATACATATTATAACTTGAGCAAACTTACATAAATCACACCAAAATGCAACCATAATCACAAATAAAGAAGCAAAAAGACTATATATATCTCTCCCACTTCTTCTCCACAGAATGATTACATTCAGCTTTTCTTTTCCCCCTTTTTTTGCTGCGTTTATTGACGAACAAAAGCTTCTGCATGGATTGCATGCAAAATATACATGAGACAATATTAATTTCTTCAGTCACATTTTGCTAAGACTATATATATTTTTACCATTCAATATTTAATGCGTCAAATAAAGATCAGGGTTTATTTATAGAACTGATATTATATATATATATATATATTTTAGAGGTGAATGAGATTGGGAGGATTGATATTGGTGAGCATATGAACGACTTCTCTCATGGTGGGCCTGGAGCTGCCTTTCTCTTCCACGCACATCATCGCTATCTTGAACATGTGAATGACGCCGGTGAGAGGATACCCGCTGAGCCTCGGGTCCACCACCGCCATCACCACCGCAGCGTCCGACCGTGGAGGAGCCAGCTCCGACGTGGTGTGCTTCACCCACCCCACGATGTCGACGCCGTCGCCGAACTCACCCACCGGTTTCCTCCCCACTATGAGCTCCAGCAGCACCACTCCGAAGCTGTACACGTCGCTCTTCTCGTCCACTTTCAGTGTGTAAGCGTACTCTGCAACAACACATGAAGAAGAAGAAGAAGCTGTGAGAAACAAGCTCGGCACATATATATATGTTCAATAATACAGACATATTTATGCAATAACCGTTATTCCTTAGTTTGTAGATGGCTTTGCATGAAATGACCGCGGACCTTTTATCTGATGCAAATAGTATATGTGGTTTTACAATAAAATAAACTAGTTGAATTTTAGTACTACCTCTCTCTTATTCTTGATGCTAAATATAAAACCTTTGTTTACTTTATCTTTTATCTTTTTTCAAAATATACAGTAAAGGGTTCTTATAAAGAGATAATTGCAATCATTCAATACATCTAATTGAATAAATAGTTAAGAAAGACCAATATATATTGATAGCAAATAATTAACTTAACTAATTTTTTTAATATTTTAAAATTAACTACCTACTTTTTATATTAAGTACATGATGTAGGGGGTTTGGCTAACCCTAGAAATATTTTTCAGAAGCACTTTTCTGTAAATGGAGGCAAATTCCTTCACATATTTACCTTGTATATCATAAAAACACTTCTGAAACCATGGTTTTATTCTTACCCAAACACCCAGTAGTATATTTTTGTTATGAGCACAGGTCAAAGTCAAAGGAAGCAGCCTACAAAATACTAGCCTATTTGACAAATAAATTAAAATCTAACAGGTTATCAAATTGATGAGCATATATCGAAACTTAATTCGAGTCATTTAATATACATTCAAAGTTATTTCTCAAATTTTGACAAATGAAATATGAACATTTATGACCTCAATATATGTTCACATACATGATACGTATATAGCTAGAAAAAGAAGGGGAAAAAAATTAATAAAAGATCACATGTGTATAGAGATATCCTATTTTCACTTCGTATCTATAAAATTCTAATGAAATTTGGAAAAAAGACTCGCAACATAAAAAGTAGAAGTGTGAATAGAATCTATGTCCTTTTCCCAGTCATCTTTTTCCTTGAAGAATCTGAACTTTACAAGAATTTTATGGTTAAGAAATTTAGAGGGTTCAAATGGCTCCTTCATAATCAAATTAAGCGACAAATTTTGCGGCAGCATTTATATATGATCCAAATTAATTAATTATATAATGACTAGAATAATATAATATCAATTTAAATGTGTCGGAGCCTGAGAAGAAACCTAGCTAGATAGTTAGAAAGAAAGAGAAGAGAGAGAGAAGCAGAACCTGGAGCGATGTAGCCATAAGAACCAGCAATGGAGGACATGGACTGAGAAGCACCAGGATCAAGAAGAAACTTAGCCAATCCAAAATCTGCAACATGAGCTTCAAAATCTGCATCCAACAATATATTATTCGACTTCACATCCCTATGTATAATCCCCGGCGAGCAATCATGGTGAAGATAACACAGTCCCTTCGCCGCCTCCACCGCGATCTTGTACCTCGCCTCCCACTGTAAATGCCCTCCTTTTGCGCCATGAAGCCATTCCCCTAAGCTTCCATTGCTCATATACTCATAAACCAGCAAGTTCGTGTCCTTGTTCGATACGTACCCTAACAGTCTCACTATGTTCCTGTGTCTGATCCTCCCTAACGTCTCTATCTCCGCCTTGAACCCGTAATCGTTCCGGCCGCTCCGACCCTGACCCACCAGTCTCTTGATCGCCACGTCGGTGCCGTCTCTGGTGTTCCCTCTGTACACGATCCCTGCGCCGCCTTTTCCGATTATGTTCTCTTCCTTTAAGCATTCGAGGACGTCGTCGACTTTGAAGTTCAGACGTCGGAATAAGGTGAGCTTCCAGTTCAGGGATTTGTGGTGCTTTCGTTTTCGGAGTGTGTAGATTGTGATGACGACGAGGAGGGTGGTGGTGAGGAGGGAGATTGTTATGACGATCATCTTGGTTGATTTGAGGGGCTCGTGAGGTTTGCAGGAGTGGTCTTGTGGGAAGCAGAGTTTGGGGTTTCCGGCGAAGTCCTCGCCGGAGAAGACGCTGAATTGGCCGCCTGTGGGGATTCTGCCTTCAAGGTTGTTGTTGGAGAGGTCGAGTGTGGTCAGGCTCACCATGAAACGGATTTCATCTGGGATTGAACCTGTGAGGTGGTTCATTGAGAGGTTGAGGATGCTGAGATCTTCTAAGTTATTGATCGCTCTCGGGATTTCTCCGGCGAGGTTGTTCCGGCTGAGATCAACAGCGGTTAAGGAAGCACAGTGAGTGATGGAATCAGGAATCGAACCACTGAGATTGTTGAAGCTTATGTTCACCTTCGTCAGCATTGGCAAGTTGAACATTTCCTCGGGAATCTCGCCAACAAAGTGGTTCGCGTCTAGTAAGAGATTCTGCAAGCTCCGCAGCTTCCCGATCGCCGGAGGGATTTTTCCGGTGATCATATTACCCGAAAGCGTCAAAATTCCGACAGCATCGCCTGACATATCCGATGGTAGCTCGCCGGATAACAAGTTGTTACTGAGGTCGATAATCGACGCAGATGGAAGATTGAAAAGCCCAGGAGGGACCGAGCCACTGAGGAAATTGTTTGAAATTCGAACTTTTTTCAAGGACTTACACTCACCGAGCTGCTCAGGAATCGGACCGTCGAAAGAATTATTCATGAGAATGAAAATCTCCAACCTTCCTCCTTTACACAAATCCTTCGGAACCGAACCGGTGAAATGATTGCTCGTCACGTCAATCATCTTAAATTTCCCGTTGCTTCCCAGATTCTCCGGCAAAATGAACGAGAAGTTGTTCCCCCAGACGAGAAGAACTTCCAAATTCGGAAGGTCTCCGATGAATGGCGGGATAGGACCAAGAAGCTTGTTTTCATACAAATTGATCAAAGTTAGGTTCGTTAGTCTGGAAAAACTGGAGGGTATCTCTCCGGTGAGGTTGTTGATCGATAAATCCAGCGACTTGAGGCTAGTCATACCGGAGAGTTCAGGTGGGATTTCTCCGGTGAGGTTATTCACTTGAAGGAAGAGAGAGTGTAAGTTCTTCAAATTGCCCAAGATCGGTGGAATCTCGCCGGATAGATTACAGCTTCCTAAATCAATCAGTTGAAGCGTGCCCATCGTGGCTAGCTCCGGGGGGATACCTCCTTGGTACACATTACTATAACCCAAATACAACTCCCTGAGCTTCTTCAATTTTGCTAAACTCGCCGGGATTTTTCCTCTGAGGCTGTTCTCGTTCAGTTTCAGAATTTCCAAGCTCTCGAACTCCGAATAACTCTCTGGTATCTCACCGGAAAAGTAGTTCCCGGAAAGCCAGAGCTGCTTCAGTTTCTTCAATCTCACAACTTCCAACGGTAACGAACCGTTGAAGCTGTTATCATAAACGTCTAGAACCTCAATCTCCGTCATGTTGAGAGTGATTTCGCCAGGGAATTCTCCGGTAAAGGCGTTGTGTGAAATATTAAGAACTTGCAGGGAAGCAAGGTTGGCGAGCTCTTTCGGGAGCTCGCCTGTGAGGTTGTCTTGTGAAAGCGTGAGAGAGACAAGCTTGTCAAGTAGGCCAATCTCCGGCGGAATCGATCCAAACAGGGGATGGAACGAGATATTCAAAGAGACAACCCTCAAATTGTCGTCACAGTGAACTCCAGAGAAGTTGCAGTGAGCAAAGAGAGAAGGAGAGGGTTTCCAATCCTCCATGGCAGAAGGTGAAGCCTTGGGCCCCTTAAGGGAAGCTTTGAGCTTGAGCAGAGCATCGAGGTCAGAGTAGGCACTGGACAGAGATGAACTGTACCAGAGGAAGGAAAGAAGGAAGGGGATGGAATAAAGAGTGGATCTTCTCATATCTGATATCCCTCTATGTTTGTTCTTCTACTTCTTCTGGTGAGGAAGATGAAGATGAAGATGAAGATGAAGATGAAGGTGGGGGTGTTCTAAATTGGCATTTGGGGAAGTTAATGTTTGGGAAGTGGTAAAACTGAAGATGCTCTGTTTCGTTGTTCGGTACATGCAGTCTATTTAAACTGCGTTTCTAATGCAAAATTAGTGAAGCAACTGTGGCTTCCCTAAAAGACAAAATTGAGTCATAATTATTCAGTAATCTCTTTTTGGCCAAATATAATTATATTGAGCAATTTACTAATGGCTAGTACCTCATACCCTCCACTACAACAGGTCTTTTAAAAAAAAAAAAAACCCCACCTGATTTTTAATACAATAGTTATCTAAGGGTTATTTATAACAAATATAATGTGATCTCTTTAAAATACTAATCTATAACATAAGAGTATATATCAGTTTATATTTATTCTGTTGTATAAAAAAATAGTGTGTAAGTTAGATAAATTAATTTAAAAGAAATAATAAATATGATACATAAAGTATATTGAATTCTTATATTTATGACTAAATAAAATTTTTCAACTGACTCTTAAATTAAGACAGTATGATTTATAAATAGTATTTTTTCCATATTTTATATTAATTGAATAATAAAAAATTGAATTATTTTCAAAAATCTGAAAAATGAGGGACCTTATAAAAAGAATTTTGTAGTATTTTTTACAGATATTTTCTAAGTGACTTTTGTGCGTGTGAGACAAAAGCATTTATTTTGGTAATACAATATATTTTGGTATCATTTGGAATTGAGTAGCATTATATTTTTGGGTCTCCATCTCCCTCTCCAAGAAAAATATACACTCAAAATATTTACCAAAAATATGAGGAATGAACAATTAGCAGTTGCCGGAATAAACCTGAGAATCACCCAAAAAAAGTAATTTAACGAAAGTTATGTTTCAAAAAAATTGTCAAAAAACAAGTTATAAATATTAAATCAAACTATTGCAAATATGAAATGGGGGATTGGGCAAATAAATCTATATGTTATTCTTCTACTAATTTGCAACTATGATTATTGTGATGTAAACTTTAAATTGATACATACAACTAATTCTTTAGCAAAATTTGGGGGACCTAACCGTGATAAATTATCTTTTTGAGGCATCAATGTGATTTTCCCTAAGCAGTAGAATAGGATCTTTGAGCATTGAGAGAAAAACTGGGGGAACTGAGAAAAAGGTTGTTGAAAAGTAGAGTACAAAAGAATAAAAATGGAAGAATTTATGCTTCGTGTGGCTCAAGCTGTGTATCAATGAAATTCCACTACGTTTTGGAACATATTCGCATCCTATATTTAATTATTTCAGTGGCAACGGAATTTCAAATCTTGTATTTTATTTATTTATTTATATATATATATATATGTATATGTATATGTATATTCGATTATCAAGTGCTTCACTGCTTTTGGCTTCTAATGTAAATGTAATACTAGTATTTGTTATGAACATAATATCTTTATAGATGTTCATGTATCTATCATTATCTCTCTTATGTCCTAGTATCTTTAATATCTCTTATTATCTCCATTATCTGAAATTATCTTTTATTATTATATCTATAAATTCTATCAAAGATTTAGCTGTACTTATAAATAGAGGCCATGTAAAATATATTCAGCAACCTTAAATGGAATAAGAAATACTCTCTCTTATTGATATTCTTTTCTTCTCTAATCTTCTTTTTCATTTATAAACGTTATTCCACATTAAATCAACCCCTATGGATTTTAGATTTCATAGAGGCTGCAATGTACTTTTCAATCCTAAATATAAAAATTAGATACGGAATTTGTTTTGATAATAAATATAAAATTTTGATAAATTTATTTTTAATATAATTTTTTTGAAATTATTTCTATATAGAGAAAGTATTTTTTTTATTAACAAGAGCAGTTTTCAATACAAAAAAATTAAATAAAATATTTTAGAAAAATAATATACATTTTTTATAAAAAAAATAACTTTTTTTTAATATCTGTAAATTAATTAGGAAAAATGTAGAAATTACTCAGTCTAAAATCAGGATTGTTTTCTATATTTTAATAAGTTTTGACTACATTTGACTTACAAATAATAATAATTTTTTGTAAAAATTTCTAATATGCGAGATTTCCTCATTTAATTATTTAACTCCTACTTATGAGAGAGCATTGTTTAATCAAGTAGAATAAAATTGTACAGGACAAAAGAACAAAAAAAAGGTCTCACTTTACAAATATATAGTTATATAAGACTAAAATGAGATTCTTTTGTCCATTCGTCTTTAAAAAATACGTAGTATTTTAATTTCATGAAGATTCTCGCACATTTTTTTTGTTACATATTCTTGTACATGTAGAGTCAACTACTAGGGATTTGGATTTCATAAAGTTTTAATCTGATAATTTTCTCTATCCATTTTAATTTGACATATGTCAACCTGCTTTGTTCGTCACTTTTTTTTAGTTTTTGGCCAACAGTGTTCATCTTCTATCTTGTTGTCCAGAGGTGTGAACACTTAGCACTATTAATCATGCTGGTATTTTTTTTAAAAAAATATTGTCTTAAATTCTCTATAAATTTCAAAACAAATCATATAATTTAAGGATGAGCCGACTATTCATACCTCAAATAATGTAATTTAGTAAATTTTTATACTATATATAGAGATAATTTCTTTTATTACAGTAACAAGGTAGAGCACCACAATTAAAATAGTTTTATGTTAAGAGGAACAAAATTTAGATAATGCTTTTAGAAAATTTGGATTGAAAAGTAAAATAAACAAAAAGAATTTTATAAGAATAATTTTTTTTTAAAAAAAGTTCTCTTTAAATTTCATACATTTACTAGTTTCGGACTTTTTTTGGGGTATTCACTAATTTATTACTATCTTCTATCTTAATATAAGAACGAGTTGATTAATTTGAGTAGATTAAAAAAACTAGTTAAGTTAGTTATTTGTAATAAATATATATTGTCTTTCCTAAAATATACTATTATTATAAGGACTATTTTGATAAAAATAGATAGATATGTAAAACAAAATAAAGTATGATATTATATTTAAGATTAAAATAAAAATAAAACAAAGCTTTATATTAAAAATTAAAGGTGGTACTTGTTTTTTTTTTGGGCATGGACCCATTCACTAATTTAGAATCTTTGAAATTTGATGGAATCTTTACAAGCACTAACACTAAATGGCTATTGACCTGTGTGATTGGACAACTCCAGTAGAGAGTGACATGACTAAAAGTCCAACTTTGAGCTTCCCATTGGTGGGGACTGGGAATTTATGTCTGTTTACTCCAACATCCTACTTATAATCTTCTCAATCACAAAAACGGACAAATTGAGAATATCCTTTAAATGAAATTCCCCAAGAACTACTACACCACAAAATGCCTTTGCTCAAATCCAATACTTGTAAAAACTATTTTTGCGCCTTGAGCTTCTCATTGGTGCCTGCTTGAGACTCTGATGAAAACAAAATTTATATTTTACATTTTACTAAACAATTTTTTTTAATATTTTTTTATAATATAAAATCACTTAAAATAAACTAATTCAAATGATTACTGAAAAACAGTGATATTTTTTTAATCATTTTATTTAGACCAAATTACTAGACTTTCCATTCCACTTGGCAGATGAGCATAATTTTGGAATCGCAATGAGTCATTACTTACTAGTTATTTTGCCGCTTTAAAATATTCCTTGGAATTTGACTAAACTCATATCCTTTGGCTGGTGTGACTAATATATTTCACAGAAGCAAATTCACTGGTCTTTTTTTCTAAATAAAAAATGTAATCTGATATGAATTTAACTCGGTGTATACAAACACATTTTTTCCTAACTATTTTCAAATCAATGGAGCCAAGTTTGTTGATATCCAATATTTTCCATAAAAGAAATTCTTTAGTCAGATTAACTTTGTATACTTCTCTGCCCCTCTATTTACAGCCGAAGCCAGCATTTCAGAGGAACGCGAACTTATTAGCCCATAATGTAAGGTTTGCACTCACGAATGCAAACCGGCTTTGGAGCCCAAAAGACCAGTCCGGGAAATCATAATGCACATCCTAGACTGAGTGCCTGTCTGGGAGAACTTAAAAATTTCTTATAAACAAGTTTCACCTAAAATTTAATTACAAATCTGTAGATTCCCTAACAACGTTTAGTGGTAACAACATGAATCAACGTCTAATTTACAATATATAAATCACCATCCAATTCACTTGGTCTAGAACCATTTTATTAGAAAGCTCGTTTGAACCAGATCGCACCACCAGTTTTTTTGCACGCTCTTACCACTAACATTGCCTCGAACAAAGATTCACGTACGTTGAGTTTTACCAAAAATGACTAAATAAATAGTCGAACATAAATTATAAAATCATCAATACATCACCCATTATACATGGGGAAGAAATCTTACTCAATTTATGCAATGGCATCTGAAAGATCGAAACCCTACCAATTCAGAATATATGAAACATGCTGCTATACTGAAGCACTCATAACCAAAATTAGCATACTCAAGCGCAACTGTTATTTCTTCTTTGATTATTAACTAATCATACAGACTACACTACAGTAGCACTCTGTTGGTTCGTGTTCTGTATTGTTCTTTTCGATTTTCAATGCTGAAAAAAAGACTTCTACAATTTTCCATGTCAAGCAACAGTATAATCAATACTTGATTAAACCATGAAATTCAGATGCCTAAAAGATCATATACGTTTTCCATGCTGAAATGTGGAAAAGAAATTTCCACAAGCACTTGGAATGCAAGATTTTGGGCATTCAAATTTCAAAAGCCTAAGAAATGCTCTCTATACTCTACTTAGCACTGAAAGTACCAGACTTCATGCTGCTCCAGGGAAACTTAACAACACCATCAACACGATTTCCTCTTCTATCGTTCGAAGCCTTATCGAGCTTGAACCTCTCACCTTCCTTCTGATGATCAAGCCAATGCCTCTTGGTTTCGCCTTCCTCGACGACGCTGGACCTGGACTGTTTGTTGGTCCGCTTCTTCTCCTCCTCGATCATGCGAAGCGGGTAAAGCTCGGGCGAGATGGAAAGCGGGTTCCTTAGGCTTACGTAGGCCTTTTTATAGTCGGGCTTCGCAATCAACAAACCACCGCGTTTCTTCTTTTTGCCCTCCATGTTTAGGGTTCGTACTTTATCGACTTCGAAGCCGTAGAGGGATTCGAGGACACGCTTGATCTCGATTTTGGAAGCAGCAGGGATGGTCTTAAGCGCAATTTCGGTGATGTTGGTGAAGGAAGATGGCATGAGGAGCTTGATGGGTAGATTTGCAAAGTGAACCACCCTCCTTCCTAATCGGCTTCCCATGGTCTCAAGTCTCGCGAACCCTCTAAAGCATGCACTTGTGGAGCCGATGATGTCTGAAGAGCCCTTGCTTCTTAACCGGAGCAGCGACGAGATCTGCGAAAGATTGGAAGAGTCGATAGCAGTCAGGAGATGGTGAAGATTAGGCTTTCGTTTTGGGCCAATTATTGGGCTTTCTCCTTCTATTATGAAGGTAACAGACATTGGGCTTTCACCTCCCAGTTTTTGGGCAATATCATAGCTTTGGGCTGACAATGAAATTTTTTTTTTTTGCGAATTAAAAACAGTTATATTTAAGATATTGTTAGACGTTAAATATAAATAATTCTTGTAGCATGAATTTAAATTTTGGTTTGTCTTTGAGGAATTAGCTCATTTCGTTATATTGAACTCCTATGTTGATGGAGATATTATAATTTCGCAAGAACCAAATTAACATGCAGTTTCAAATAAGCAATCAATAACTAAAACAAATCACAAATTCGCAGTATTATAATGCAGAAAATAACAATAAATAATTTTTTTAATAATTAAATTGTTTATATGATGCTGCATTATATTATAACTTTTCCTTAAAACAAGTCTTTAGAATTTTTAATACCACTTCTGAGCCTTAATATAAGAACTAATTGATTAATTTAATTATATTTAAAAAATTAGTTAAGTTAGTTATTTATAATAAATAAGTATTATCTTTTTTAAAATACATTCGCTAATGATGTGTATTAGCTAAAATTATCATTTAATAAAATTTTAATATGTGCAACTATTACAATAACTACATTGAAAAAAATAACAAATATAAAAGATAAAATAAATTAAAGACTTATATTTAAAAACAAATTGAATGTCAAAAACTAACTTAAAATGCCTCTAGTGTTTAATATAAAATTTAATTAACTAATTTAAAAAAATTAAAAAAATTAATTAAATTAGTTGTTCTGAGTTTCCATTAAAGCTGGTCCATAGGATTTGGCAGGGGAGAACCAGGCAAGCCCTATATTCAACATCTGAAAATACATTCAACAAATGAAATGATCTAACATTTTAACTCATTATCCAATTCAGATTCATTCCTCTCTGCAGTTCTTCGTCTCGAAGTTCTTCATCTACACTGGCACACGATTATCAGAGAAACACCCACGTTTTAGATATTTATTTACGGCTGAAAGACCTTTTCTTTACGTGTATTTTCCAGTCCCGGGAGCGGGAAGGATTCAATCTAGTGGCCTCATGAATGTGGTCGTCATCAACAAAACGTAAAGAGGAAGCCATATGTCATGCAACGAAGTGATTGCAGAAGATGTTTTGCAGGACTGATCCTGTGGGGAGCAGAGATTCGGGTTCCTGGCGAAGCTCTCGCCGGAGAAGACGCTGAACTGCCCGCCGCTTGCGATTCTTCCGCTGAGGTTGTTGTGGGACAGATCCAGCGTGGTGAGGCTCGTCATGTTTCGCATTTCTTCTGGGATTGGGCCTGTTAGATGGTTCGTTGAGAGGTTGAGAATGTTCAGGATCGTTATTTTTTCGATTCCTCTCGGGATTTCTCCGACCAGCATGTTCCGGCTGAGGTCGACGGCCGTTAAGGAAACGCAGCGAGATATGGAGTCAGGAATTCGACCAGTGAGGTTATTGTGGCTCATGTTCATCTTCGTAAGCATCTGCAAGTCGAACATTTCCTTGGGAATCTCGCCTACAAATTGGTTCATGTCTAGTAGCAGAGTTTGCAAGCTCCGGAGCTTCCCGATCGCTGGAGGGATTTTACCGGTGAGCGAATTATTCGAAAGTGCCAAAATTCCGAGAACACCGCTTGACATATCCGACGGTAGCTCCCCGGATAAGTTATTGTTGCTCAGGTCGATTATTGTGACGGAAGGAAGATTGAAAAACCCAGGAGGAACTGATCCATTGAAGAAATTATTAGAAATTCGAACTTTTTCTAAAGACTTGCACTCACCGAGCTGCTCTGGAATCGGACCGTCGAAGGAATTATTCATAAGAATGAAAATCTCCAACCGTCCTCCTTTACACAAACCCCTCGGCACCAGCCCCGTGAAATGATTACCTGTGACGTCAAGTTTCCTGAATTTCCCGTTCCGGCCCAGATTTTCAGGCAAGTTGTACGAGAAATGGTTGCCCCAAACCTGAAGGATTTCCAGATTCGGAAATTCGCCGATGAATGACGGGATAATCCCATGAAGCTTGTTTTCAAACAAATTGATCAATGTTAAGTTTGTTAATTGGGAAAACCATATTGGAGGTACCTATACTTTCTCTCAATTTTCAATTTGGTACCTATGTGTTTTTTGTTGTTAATTAAATCTTTAATTTTGCTTTATTAACATCATTAATCCTTATGTAGAGACTAAAAATATCAATAGAACAAAGTTATAAGAGCTAATGTTGCTAAAAAGATAAATTAAATGTTTAATTAAAGGGAAAAAAAACACATAGGTACCAAATTAAAAATTGAGAGAAAGTATAGGTACCTCCAATATGGTTTTCCCTTGTTAATTTGAAGAAACTGGAAGGTACCGCTCCGGTGAGGCCGTTGATCGATAAATCCAGTTCTTTGAGGCTATTCATACCGGAGAGTTCGTGTGGAATTGTTCCGGTGAGATTGTTCACTTGCAGATACAGAAATTGCACATTCTTCAAATTGCCCAAGCTGGGTGGAATCTGCCCGGAGAGATTACAGCTTGATAAATCGATCAGTTGAAGCGTGCTCATCGTGCCTAGCTCGGGTGGAATACCTCCTTGGTACGCATTACTGTACCCCAAATATAATTCCCTGAGCTTCTTCAATTTTTCTAAACTCGCCGGGATTTTCCCTCTGAGGCTGTTCTCATTCAGCTTCAGAATTTCCAAGCTCTCGAACTCCGAATAACTCTTTGGTATCTCGCCGGAAAAGTAGTTGCCGGCGAGAAGGAGCTGCTTCAGTTTCTTCAATCTCACAACCTCCTCCGGTAACGACCCGTTGAAGCTGTTATCATAAGCGTCTAGAACCTCAAGCTCCGTCATATTGAGAGTGACTTCACCAGGGAAGTTTCCGGTGAAGGCGTTGTGTGAAACATTGAGGACTTGCAGAGACGTAAGGTTGGCGAGCTGTTTGGGAAGCTCGCCGGTGAGGTTGTCTTGGGAAAGCGTGAGAGAGACAAGCTTGTCAAGTAGGCCGATCTCCGGCGGAATGGAACCGAACAGGGGATGGAACGAGATATTCAAAGAAACAACCGTGAAATTGTCGTCGCAGGTAACTCCAGAGAATTTGCAGTGAGCAGTAGGAGAAGCAGAGGGCTTCCAATCCTCCATTGCAGAAGGGGAAGCTTTGGGCCCCTTCAGGGAAGCTTTGAGCTTGAGCAGAGCATGGAGGTCAGTGTTCACACTGGACAGAATTGAACTGGAGCAGAAGAGTAAGGAAAGGAGGAATGTAACGTGACAAACTGTTGATCTGATCATCTCTCTCTGGGTTTGTTCTTCGTCGGGAAGATGACGAGGTTCCAACTTCTAAGTTCGCATGCTGGTAAAAAAAAAAACTTCTAAGTTCGCATGCTTACTGTTTATTCAGTGGCAACAGAACTTTGAATCTTACTAATTTCGGTGCCATCACTCATGTTGTACTTATTCTCTCACTTTATATATATGTGTGAAACGTGACAACCCCTTTTTATAGGCCAATTAGATTAAATTAAATAATTTATTTAAAAAATTAATTATAATAGAAAAAGAATCTTAAAATTTTAAAATCACTATCATTGTTAAAAGAAATAAACTTATATTACAAGTAACGTCGATCGTTAACTTGAGTCTTAGATTTCCACAATCCAGAAATATCATTTAACCAATAACCTAAATCAAACTTATATTTTCAAACATACAAACTGATAGATCGTTTTAATATAAGCTATGGAGTCTATTAATCAAAAATCAACATTTTATAAGAGTGTCAGATGCAGAGTTTTAGAGGACTCTGGCCTTCTAACAGTCCTCTCACCTCAGATAGTAGTAATTAAAAGTATTAGTTTACAATATTAAAGTAGATGAACCCAGTGTGGCAATATATAATCAACCAGCACATAAAACAAAAAGGAGCGAGGCTATATAAGCTACAACAGCATATTATGCCTCCGGAGCCTTCTCTGATGGGCCACCACACCTGAACTATCACCTGAAGATAGTAGAAACCACAGGGTGAGATAAACACCTCAGTAACCAACTTTCCAACTCATCATATATACTAACATGTGTTCGTAAAATGTCAAGTGGAACAGTTATTAATTCTTGAGAAATATAGATATATCTATAGAAATATAATTTCAATTATCCAAACCCTCATTATGGGACTAACACACAAGTCATATAAGTCTATCCATCACTACGTGGATCAATCAGACCTATAGGCCTGTCTCTCACACTAGGGGACAAATAAAAAGCTATAAGAGCCTATCCCTCACTATGGGGGATAAAAAAAGTAAACCAATGTGCACCAATGGCGGTATTACTATATGGTAGGATAAGACTCAATTCAAAATCCAAATAATAACTAATCATTCACAAATATAACAAAAAATGTCTCAGTATTTTCTCAACACATATCCATAAGATATAGATCAGATATTTTTCCAAACTTCTCAATCATAATTCCAAAAATTCCACAAGACAATTTTCATAGCTCAAAAGGTATAATGTATCTGCTCAAGTTCCAAATAGAACATTATTATTCTAAAATAGCAAAATACTCACAAACAACATATTAGCACATACAATAAGTGGAAAGTTGTTACCTCTCGCCAAAACAATAAAAAAGATTACCACAAGGTCAATTCTTTGCTCAACCAATAATTAATCTACACAATTAATATAACCACATATTAATATAAGCTAATTAATTAATTAATTAAGCTTATATATATTATTTAAATTTCTAATTTAATTTAAATTTTATTCTAAATTCTCGTAACTTTTATAACCCAAAAATTAAGTATTTCAGAACCAAGTTATAATTTTCTAACAAGCCCAAAATATTTATTTACATCCCAAATTATTTACTCTAAAAAGAATTTTCCAAAATTTCAAAATATGGAATTATTATGTTCTAAATTCTAAAAATCTCATTTAAAATTTAAACTTCAAATCGAACCATCAAAAATTCAATAATACTTCAAATATTTATAAATAAATAATCTAATTAAAATTTTAACGGTATAACTATCAGATAAATATATATTTTTCCACAAATAATAAAATTTTTAGCTAAAATAATTATTTTAAAACCTCTGGTTACCCAATGAATAAAACTAAACTAAATAAAATCTCAATAATATGTCAAACAACTCAAATAAATTATTTAACTTAAATTTAATCGGTAAAAATATAATATAAATCATATATAACAGATTTTTCAACTAGAAAAATTAATTTAAGTATTAAAAACTAATAAATTGATAAATCTAAACTGATTAAAATTAACAACTCATTTATCTCTAAATTTCTATAGTTATCTATTACCAAAACTCAAGACTTATCCCTCATATAAGTCTCAAAATTTTCTCTAATTACTACAGTAATATTGTCAATAGGAAGTTTAAAATATATAAGAAATATTCATAAAGAAAGTTTGATAAAAGAAAATATATTTGTGTACTTAAATTATCTTTAAAGTTTGTTCTTTCTTTCAAAATGACTGCAGCTCTGCTCGTTTTCTCCCGCGTTCTTTCTCTCTTTTCCTCTCTCTCACGCTCCATCATCTTTTGCCTCCTACTTTCTCTTTTATCATTCATTTTCCAAACTAGCTTTTTCAATTTTCTTCCTTCATTTAATTCTCTTTTCTAAAGTTTTTCTTTTTCTTTCAATGTTTCAACTTTCCACCGAATTCGGTGGAAAGTTGTTACCTTTTTTTTTAAATATTAAAATATTATTATTTTATTATAATAATAAAATATTATTATATTATTTATTATTATGATTTTCAAAAATCTTAAAATAAAATTTAGGATATTACATGAAACATGTTCATTTTTAAGAATCAAATTTACAATGTTGTGTCGGTTATTTTTAACTTGAGCACAAGGGGTTTGCCAACTAACTACTTCCCTCCAAATATCAATTTTTAATACTAACTTGACATCCTAATTTTAATACCTCATTTGTAGTTTGTAAATGAGGTTGATAATTAGAATCAGAGATAATATAAAAAATACATATAAATAATTTGTGTATATTAAAAAATCAATTAAATTATTCATTACTAACAAATGTACATTTATTTTTCTAAATTATTGTTTTTAATCATGTGTATTAGAACTACTTATGATAATAGATTGTATTGGAAAGGGAGAAAAAAAAGAACTACTCATGATAGAAGCCACTATATATTTTGGAAAAAAAGGATAATTTTAGAGGAAAACAAAATGGATTAAAATATTATATTTAATATTAAAATAATCTTTTTATATTTAACTCTTATATTTAGTACACAGGAAGTATTTCACTACTGTATAGAGGAGGGTAATAACGTAATATTAATGAAAACATGTTCTGCTGCCCATAAAATGGCATGTACCCACACCATCTCTTTGAAGCCCGACAATGTTTGTGTCTAAATAGATAAGCAGTACCAAAAATTAAATGACTGTTACTTAGAAAACAAGCATTTTGATAACAAGACATCATATAAATTTGCATCAGCTATCATTCTGAGATAATCTGTTTGCAAGTATTAAGGGAAAAAAAAAATGTGTGCTGTTATTTAATACTACCTCCGGTCCTAATTATAAGAGCCAGTTGACTAATTTGAGGAGATTAAGGAAGTAAGTTGAGTTAGTTATTTGTCCTAAATAGGTGTTATTTTTCTTAAAATATCCTTACTAATCAAGTGTATTGACTAGAATTATCATTGTTAGAAGGGTTACTTTGAAAAAAAAAGTATAAATATGAGAGACAAAGTGAATTGGGGTCTTATATTTAGAACTAAAATAAAAGTCAAATAGGGTCTTATATTAATGACCGAGATAGTACTGTAGATTAGAAAGTGTTGGATTAAGTATGGGAAAACTTTTGTATGTGTAAGTAAAAGGAAAATATCAAACAACTCTTAGCTGGGCTAGAGGGATAAAGCATTTTCAGCATAAGAATCAGCATTTCATGGAAAATTAATACAAGTTTTTTTGCTATGATAATATAGTTACAGGTAATGTTGTCGTCGTCGTCATCATCAATTTCTTTTTACTAGGCCAACTCATCACTTAACCTAAACTATATGGGTAATTAAGTCATGTTAGAGTGTTTGGTTTGGCTTATTTTGCATTGTAAACATATGAAAAACAAAATTGTCTCATGAAACATAGAAGTAATCCAAATACGATTCATATGTAAGTTGGTTTTGCAAGTTGGAATGTTCATGAGAGCTAAGCATTAGGCTGTGGTAAAACCCGCCCTTGCCTGTAAATAATAATGGAATTGTTGAAGAATTATTTTTATTCACGTATGTTAACATTTCCTTCCTCTGAAATGTACATACTCAAGCTGTGAAATGGCAAAATCTGAAATCTATTTAATCAAATGTAGAAAAAACAGGAAGGAAGAATAAAGTGTGAAAGAACAAATTCTAAAAATATTTCCACTTTTAGCACCAAATTCTCCACTTTTTCTCTCTGGGCTTTCTTCATTTGACAGAGCACTTAAGAATTAAAAAATAAATTGTTTTGATCGATAATATGAATTTTAGGTGTATTTATTATTAAAATTCCCCAATAAAAAAAGATATTGCATATTGCATAATCATCTTTAAACCTAATCTTTTCATTAGTTATTGACACTGGGAGTGAAGAGGCACACGATTCTCTAAACATAGCCACCATTTCCTTGGTTACAAGGATTGAGAATTTACAGCATGAAGGATCGACTCCCACCAAATTACAAACCTTGAGACGATGGCAAAGGTCGGCCGAAGAAGACAGTAAAGATTAGGCCTTTTCTTTTGGGCCAAGGGTTGAGCGTTTTTTTTTTTTTTTTAAATAGCATGTTTCTAAGCTCAGAAAATATTTACAGAAATACTTACAAGTCATCCACTAACAAAGTCTTCGTATCGATAGCAGGGTTTAAACTCATCACCTTATGAGTTATGGATCGACACCTTACCAATTAAATCAACTCTTGTTCAGCTTTATTTTTTTTTCATTATCAAGGAAATAAACATTGGGCTTTTGCCCTGATTTTGTGCAATATAATAGTTTTGAGCTGATCATTTAATTCATTTTTTTGTTCATAAGAAATGCATTTTGCTTATTTCTTTGATACTTTTAAATTTTTAGGAATTTTTCAACTAATATTTTTTCCATATTATTTTATTCTATTTTCATTTTTAGAATTCTCATCTCAATTTATTAAAATTTGAAAAAATTAATGTACATTTTCATATAAGCAATTAATCATTAAAAAATCCCACAAATTCCTAATATTATAATGACAAGATTACTCTTCAATCACTTCCAACATGTTTTACATAGACTAAGGAAATCCTTAAACCTCATTAATTCTCATTTAAAATTTAACAATTTTTTAACTTTATTCCTATTTAACATATAAACGAAGTCAATAAATAATAAATGAAGGGTAAAATTAAATATTCGTATAAAAAACTACTTTTAGTACCCTACAAATAGGATAAAAAAATATCTTTTCTCTGCCTTATAGATAAGACTAGAAGAGTACATTAAAGATTTGGTGCAAAAAATGACGATAAATCATAATATATTAACAACTCAATTTTATAATTAGAACCGAAAGTAGCATTAGCATAGATTATTGATCTTAATCTGGATCATCTAGATTGAGTTTGGATTGTTCAAATTCAATTTAAATGTTTTTTGTATTTTAATATGTACAAAATTTAAAATAAAAAGAATCTCATAATTGACGCTTATAAAAAAAATTATCATTGAAAAAAATTACGAATTAAAAATTGTAAATTTAAACCATTCAAATAAGATTTTGAATGATCAAATTTTAGGACTATTTGGATAGAAATCAAACTATGATTTTAAAAGTGATTTTATAGTAAATATGTGAATAAGTTTGTTTTGATTTATGAAAAAAATGTTTTTTAAAAGCATTTTTGTCTAATACCAAATACTCCCGAAGGTTACTGTAATAAATATTTTTCTAGTTCTTAATATAGGACCTGATTGTTGAATTGATTTTAGTATTAAATATAAGACTTATTTTTCATATTTATTAATTTTTCCTAAATTACCATTATGGATACTCTCTCAATCAAAATCAAGTAGAAGAGGGAGAGAGGATATTAAGAAAGATGATTATGGTATTTTAGGGGAAACATGTATTTCTTATAATTAACTAACTTACCTAACTTCCTTAATCTAATCAAATTAATTAAATAGGCCTTATATTAAGAATCGAAAGAGTACTAAATAAGGATTAGTTGGAATAAAAAGTTTTAGATGATCTGAAAGATTTTTTTTTCAAAAAATCAAGCACTTATTTGATGGATCATCAATTCAATTCAATTCTATTTCTAAAATGGATTAATAAAGTCAGCTAGCAACTTCCATATATACCCTTCTGGGGGTGTTTGGACTCAGTTTCTTGTTTTTGTTTCGATGCCTTAATGATGTGCTATTTATTACTACTCCAATTTTTAATATAAGACCTATTTAACTAATTTGATTAGATTAAGAAAGTTAGATAAGTTAATTATAAGAAAAGTGACATATTTTTCTAAAACACCATAATCATCTTTATTAATACCTCTCTTCCTCTTCTATTTGACTATGGTTGTGAGAGTATCTATAGGGGTAATTTAGAAAAATTGATAAATATAAGAAATGGGTCTTATATTTAGAATCAAAACTAACTCAAAAATTGGGTCTTATATTAAGGACAAGAGGAGTATTATATATTACCATTAAATTATCATATGAAGGAATCAAATTTGTCTGCGCGTCTTACATATTAAAGCTGACATCATATGAGAAATATTATTTTATCACTTTATAACAAATTTTTTTTTTTTTTGCTTTTAGTATCAAATTCTCCACTCTCTCTCTAGGTTTTCTTCATTTGACAGAGCACTTGAGAATTAAAAAAAACAATGTTTTGATTGATAATATGAATTTTAGGTATATTTATTACTCCTCCGGTTCTTAATATACGACATAATTATTAAGTTAATTTTGATCCTAAATATCAGACTTATTTTTCATATTTATTAACTTTTTCAAAATTACTCCTAAAGAATGGAGGATATTAAGAAAAATGATTATGGTGTTTTGAGAAAAACATGTCATATTTTTATAATTAACTTACCTAACTTTTTAAATCTAATCAAGTTAGTTAAATAAATCTTATATTAAAAATCGCAGGAGTATTTAATTTTTCAACAATAATATTGCAGAATTATCTTTAAGCACAATCCTTTCATTAGCAAGTGACACCTGGGGCCAAAAGATGTACATGATTCTCTAAACATATCCACAATTTCCATGATTAAAAAACCAATGGACTCCACCATCACAGGGTTAGTCTTATGGCATAAGATCCTGCTAGATTTCTTTAAACTCAAACACAAATCTCTAATTAAATTAGTCGATTATTCCTATATTTAATATAGGATCTAAGAAAAAAACGTTTGATACCGGATGATGGTATATATTAAAAAAAAAAAAAAAGCAGGTTAATACAAACTTTGACCCTTCAAGTTTACTTTCATTTTAATTTTGGTCCCTCAAATTTTAAATCATAAGTTTTAATTCTTTAAGTTTCTTTTCATTTATAACATTGGTCCCTATAATCGCATAAAAGTTTAAATCATTTTGTTTTTTGAGGAATCCAAACTTACCAAAATGAAAGCAAACTAAAAGAATCAGAGATTATATTAACCCAAAAAAACCTATAGACTCCCACTATCATATATATATATATATATATATTATTCTGACACTTATTATAAGACATTTTATTGAAAAAAAATAAAAGTCATCCTTATTATAAGCACAAAATAGAATATTAATTATGTTTTTCTAAAATTGTCCCTATTTAAAATCTCATTAATTAATGACTTAACTGCTTTTTATTAATTTGATGAAGTGGTTAAAAATGCTTTATCATAAGAGTTAGAGTGATAGACACCTGTATATGGACAAAATACAACATTAGCGTTTGTTCATGGGTATTTATTATTAAATTTATTAAAAGAATTATAAAACCAAGTAATTTTTTTTTCTGAAAAAGAGATTTATAATTTGATGCAGAATAATCTTTAACTTTAATCCTTTCATTAGTCATTGACATATATGGAGTAAAAAGAGGCATAGGATTCTCCAAAACATAAATTAACTGATGAAGGTGTTAGGTTCTGATTCTGGACAAGTGTATGGCCAAAATCAACAATCACATACTATATTATATTTATAATGTGTGTGTGTGTGTGTGTGTGTGTGAGACCTTAAATTGCATCAAACATAAAGGAGACAGTCAGAATATATAAGAGAGGACCACAAGCTTAATTAATCGAGTGGAGTTCTTAGATGGAGCAGGATAGAGCTATTCACAATCAGCATCAACCAGGTGTTCTTCTTTTCTTTAATTTTTTTTATTCACAAATTTCAAATATTAAATCTTTCCATTTTTGGCCAAAAAAATATTTCCATTTGAACTGAGAGATATATATATATATATATATCTATCTCTCTATAGAGTATCAGTTTATTTGCACTGAGATTAACTTCTTTCCCCTCTGGAATTTTGGTCAAGTTATTTATTAAGGTGTGAGGTGCTAATATACTTGACAGGTGGAGGAAGAAACAAGTCTTGCCCTTGTGTGAAGAAGAAAGGAAAAAGGGGCTTCATTGAAGGATGGTAACCTTAATTATTTCTTTTTCATTTTATTTATACTATAATATATTTTTATATGGCTATCTGGTTGAGTTAGATTCGAGTATTGTCGGGTTTAATTAAGATAGTTCTTCTATGTGTTCATATGAATTTAAACTTGAAACCTCATAGTTAAGCTATAAAAAATTCTTCTACTAAGACCAACAGCGATTGGTAACGTGTTATAATATTTTTAGCATACCATATAATTAAATTTATGTTTATTATGGGCTATTATATTTTCCTAAACCCTCTTTGATATGTCTTCAATATAAAATGAAGGACGATTTTCCTTCCCTATATGAAAAGTAAAGAAATGAAATTTAATACCAAAAATATTTATTGGAAAAATAGAATTAATTTGATTAGATTATTTAACTTTTTTCATGAACTAATTAATTTGAATGATTATAATCTGTACTTTGTGATATTGCAGCTTGTTTGCCCTTTGCTGCTGCTGGCTTTGTGATGCTTGCTTTGATGTTACGGTTAGTTAAGACTTAAAGACGCAGCCAGATGATGCCAATCAAATAATTGTCCCCTGATAATACTAATTATGTATAGTTTGTACCACTTTTTATTTCCTTTTTAATCTTAGCTATTCTTTAAATATGTAATAATATGCTGGCTGATGATTTCAATATTAATAATTATATTATAATTTTTATAATATCTCTAATAGTTAATTTATGGCCCAAGTTAGTGTGCAAGGGATATTAGAATATTTTTATATTACCTGCTTCCAACAAAAAACAAGGGGAATGTGTTTATGTGCATACTTTTTTTTTTTGGCCAACTTTTATGTGCATACATCAATGTGAACTTATGTCTAAAAGAATTAAATATCTTACTAATTATCATATACTTTAATTAAGAAAATAAGAAGTTTTTTATCCACATCATAAAGGCAAGCGAGTTTCCGCCAAAAAAAAAACATTGTCGAATAAAGAGAAATTAATGGTCACTCTTCAAAATGTGGGTAAAATAAATTTTATAAAGTTAATTAAAATGAACTTGACTTTATTGATCTTCAATTTCTGTGTTGTCCTCCTTGGCAATATTGATGACAAATAAATATGGCATAAAATTCATGATAAATCAAATTATTTGAGTTACAAATGTCATAATTCATTTTTTAGAGTTTATGCCATAGAGTCCTAGTTTAGTTAGCAAAAGCCAAAAGTGCAAATCATAAAATGTATACCAGATCATATCATTCATCAACAAAAATAACAGTTTGTCAGCTCCCAGATACAAGAAGTAGTTGAGGAGCTGACTTTAATTTTAAATATAAGATCTTAATTCATTTGATCTGTCATATTTATTATTCTTTTCAAACAAATTTATCTAACTGATAAACTGATATATAATCTAACGTTATATAAAGGTATTTAAGGAAGATAATGTCATATTTGTTATAATTAACTAATTTTTTTACCTCTATTAATTTATCTAAATTAATTAAATAATTCTTATATTAAGAATTAGAGAGAGTAACATGATAGAACATTTCTCCTATTCTAGATAGCGCACAGTTAATTCATGAAATTTTAACCATGTACATTCGGTTATATATAGGTTGAAAGAATTTGCCTCTAAAAAAAAAACGAAAAAAAAAAAACTTACTTTCATTCTAAACTGTTCACAGAATTGGCCACTTAAGAATGAAGTTAGGGAAGCAAACAGGAGCTTACATGCAGATTATTTACCTGACAGATAGAGAAACTTAATTAATAAATGAACCCTCCTAAATCATCACCATCTCATTGTTCATCTTAACCAAACAAATCTTACCAAAACCCAACCTAATTAATTGATAAACTCTTCATGACTCATGAGTGTACTGTTCATTAAAATGTTAGAAATGAAGCAGATAGGCCACTTAAACAGTTACAGTGTAGCTATATATACCATAAGGTTTACTTCTGAAACTCATTAACTCAGAATTAGTGTTCTTGAGAGTGAAGATCAATCATGGGGAAGCTTCCTGGCTTTCAATCTGCAGTTATGCTCATTTGGGTGTTCTTCTTTGTTACTGTACAATTTTGCTCTGCTAATTCTGAATCTTCTGCAACTCAAGCATTTCAAGGTTTTGAACCTTTATTTTTAATTCAGTCTTTATCATTACAATCTTTTGAAGTAATTTTGTTGATCTAATTACGCATGATTTATGACTACAAAATAGTAAATTATAAGAACTTTAAATCAGTTTTAACTAAATTTATTATCAAGTGAAAACATGGAGACTAAAAGTATAGATGAAAGGAGCATATATTATGGTTCTTATCAGTTTCTTCATGCAGAGAATGAAGGGAAGCCAGAAAATGGAAACTTGGGAAGCACAGGCTCAGTAAATCACATTGAAGAAGACAAGTTCAAATCAATCAAAAAGCCTTTTAGCAAGAAGCCTCTCCAATCGAAACATGTAATATTGAAGAAGCCATTTATCAAAGTCCCTCCCAGAATTCCAGATGTTCAAAGGCTTTCACCAAAGACATCAATTCCAATTTTTGAAGAGAAGCCAGTTCAAACGGTTAGGAGGCCAAATTTTCTACTAATTCCTTTCTTTAAGAATCTATTCCCAATCATGAAGAAGCCAAAACATGTACTGATCCCGGAATTTAAGAGGCCTGCTTTAAAACCCATTCCATATATGAAGAACTCAAAATTCCTGCCTTTTCCATTATTCAAACGGCCTATTCCAAGACCAATTCCAATTGTTAAGAAACCAATTCCAGAGTTTGAAAAGCCTATTTCAGAACCAATTCCAGTAGAGAAACCAATTCCAGAGTTTGAAAAACCTATTTCAGAACCAATTCCCGTAGCAGGCAAACCAATTCCAAAGTTTGAAGAGCCTGTTTCAGAACCAATTCCAGCAGCAAATAAACCAATTCCTAAGTTTGAAAAGCCTATTTCAGAACCAATTGCAGCAACAGAGAAACCAATTTCAGAAGATAAGAAACCTATTCTAAAACCAATTCCATCGGTAAAGGAAGACTCATTACTCCTTGCTCCAGAATCACTGAAGTTGAAAGAGTCTTTATTCAGGAAACCTATCCCCCAAATACCATTTCCTCCAAAATTTAAGAAGCCCCTTCCAGCTCAAAAGCCAATTTCTCCTCCATGAGATTCTTGTACCATGTCCCTGTATTACAGTTGAAGTCCTCCTATGGCCACCCTCTTATTTATGATCTCTTCTATGTTTGTATCTGTATTATGGATTGAAGAACGAAATGGCTGTGTGAATTAAAATTAATCAATGAATAAAAATGGCGTCGTTATTTGTGTGGGTGACATATGAGTAGCTGAACCATGAAAGTATCATGCTAGGTTTGCTTCAGAAAATATCAAACGAATTGATGAACATGGAAACTTCATCGTGAGCGTGCTGTGTGAAACTCAAACTTGTTCATTAAAACTTAATTTGACTTACCTTTCCTTTTTCAGACCATGTTCTATCCCACTTGTATACAACTTTAATGTGGTTTCAGATCGCCGGCTTCGTGTTAAACTCCGAATAAAAGCGCTAAATTAATGTGGCTTTAATAAAAATGACTGACCTACTTGAAGTTCAATTTTTTAAAAATCATCAAAACTTGGAAGGAAAGCAAAAGGATGGCAAATATGAGTTCTTTACAATCTAAAGGCAAATGATTTTCAGTGCTCAAAAAAGCTCTTCCACGCACGTCTCTACTGAAGAACCTAATGATATACCTGGCAAGATAGATACGAGGGTACACAAAATCATGTTACATACCATCCTATGATTAGCATAAATATTTCTTTTCCGGTAGTCTGAAACAAGAGAATCTCAATAGATGCACGGGACAACAACAAAATAAATTTAGATATCACACTAGCACTGGAAGATCAAAAATGAAAATTCTACAATTTAAAACACCCAGATGCCTCTAGGATTCAAAGCTTTGTCAAGCCATATCTGATGAGGAAAATGAGTGGCCAAAATCTGTTGCATTTTTCTTCTTTATTGTCGAACCCGTGACATGCGGGAGAGAGAATCATTATCCTTAAACCAACATGGCATTTGCATATCGACACACTCTGTTACATTCTATTCCTCACTTTTCTTCTTTTTATCTTTCTTCTTTTTCTTAGGAGCTTCAGCAGAATCATCAGCCTCAGCATGCTTTTTCCTCTTTCTCTTCTTCTCCCCAGCATCAGCATCATCCTCATCAGCCTTCACCTGGCCATCCTCAGCAGACTCCTTACGTTTCTTCTTCTCCTTCTTCTTCTCCTTCTTCACAGTCTCCGTTTCATCTGGTTCCTTGTCAGCGTCCCCATCAACTTGTAAGGCGGCATCTTCTTTGCTTTTCTCTTTCTTCTTTTTCTTCTTTTCTTTCTTTTCTTCAGCAACAGGAGGCTCTTGCATTTCCTCGTCCATAGGAGCACCATGACGAGTTTGACCGAGAGTAGAATCAGATCTAGGATTATATGTCTACATAAAACACAAAAGTCAACATATTGGAAAAAAAAGTTATGGTGCATACTTTAACATATAACTAATTAATTAAGCATCATACCTTAGCAGGAGTAATTAAGCCTCCGGCTCCCTTCTTCCGATCTTTGTCATAACTTTCTATCTTCGGCTTTCCTTTAGCTGAACCAGCAAATCTACCTAGTTCTTTGCCTTCAAGATTCCTCAAGCGTGCTTCAAGCTGTATGAAAATATTCATAAGAAATGGCAGCAAATGACAGTAGAAGTAGAACTAATTTGAGAAGATAGCACAAGTACCTTGGCTCTGTTCTCCAATCCCATGGAATTATCTTGACCATCTCCAAGAGCATCATATCGAATTGCCAATGCTGCCTTCGCAGCAAGGGACCGGGAAATCTTCCCCTTGAACTTTGGAGCTGCCTGACCGATCAATGATGCATGATAAATAAGGCCATATTTTGGAGTAGCATGCTTCGTCTTAAGGGCCCTAAAGAGAGCCTTTTCAGCACCAAGAATCTGTACAGTACTCCCTGGCTGCTTTGCAAGATTGAGTAAGCTACCACCATGAGCAATAAGGCGAGCACCAACAAGCTCCCCAACAAGAGCAGTCAAATTGGGTGCAATAGTGTTCATCCTGCTTTTAAGATAATCATATAGCTGTGCTCTGTACTCTGAAAGAGACAAAACCTGGTCACATAGTTCTCTAATATTCAACAAGTCAAGCTCACCAACTTCAGTTCCCATGGATATCATAGCCGCTTCTTTCAGTTCGGCCTCAACTTCCTCAGGCAAGATCTGTGACATTCACATGAACAGAACTTATAATACGATTCATTTATGAAATTTTGGTTCCAAGCAATTTAATAAAAACAGTTACACAGATATTTGTACTACACCACATGTTGCAACAATAAAGGATTTAATGAGATTATTGATCATTAGAATTAACCACAATAACAAATAAAATTCAATGCAGCAGAGAAGACATGCAAGTGAACGAAGACTGTGACAGGATAAACAACATAACCAATGACAAATCCTACCTCAGAAAAATCAAGCTTTGCAGCATTAGTGCGATCACCCATCAGTTTGACTGCTTTTGCATACTGGATGTTGTCCTGTATTATTCTAGTAAGCTCGGGGAAATGCCAACCATACCATTCTCGAACCCTCATGGCATATGTATTTAGCTCTTTATCAAGGTCATCAAGAAGACCAATGGCTTGAACAATCATGGTATCCACCTGAAAAATGGAATATTACATTCAGCCAACAGCTACGTGACATAATATTTCACTATTTTATTATTTAAGTTAAAAAAATTCAAAATCAATAAATGTCAAATTCCTAATGCCATAATGACAGAATGAAATGAACTAAAACATGAAAGACAATTTTTAAAATAAATTGAACTTGAAGTGAGGAACATCAACAGGAGTTCCCGAAAGCCCCATCTTACCATCACAGAATATTGAGTTCTGCAACATACAATTATGGTATTTCACCAAAGAACTAACGCTTAAGCTAGCAGAAATTTAGAAAGACATGAAAGAAATGCTGAAACCAGATATTTAACATATTACAAAGATAGTTTGAAGTTTAAACGCCCAACATTTTTAATTATCCAGCAAGTTTTAAAACCAACAATTATTCTTTAAATCTGTCTTTGAAGGTGATCATAGGGGATTGTACTTGTACATCAAAAAATAAGATAGAGCTATAAATTCCACAAAACACTGCATCTTAATCACACACCAGATTTAATAAATAAATAAGTCTCGATTATCTAGCAATATACTTTATAATTCATAGTTGATTAGAAAAACACAATATCTCACTAGTATTTTGGGGGAAAAAAATTCTTTAAATATCTATAATCTATCTATATTATGAATCAAGGACCACAGTGAGAAAAAAAGGAAATAGAATTTCTAAAATGAATCATCCTACATCAAATAGTTAACATTTTGGCACGATGAAGCAAGCAGATGACTAACATGCCAACCTGCCAGTGCCAGCAGCGTATTCAAAGGCCAAGAACAGAAAAAGAAACAAAACTAGGTCACTGTGTTTAAACCAAGATGAAGCATACCTTATCTGCACTGAACTTCAGCTTGTATCTTGATAAGCTATGAGACAAACCCAAGCTCATTGGTGCCATATCTTGCACAGCAAGACCATGTATCAGTTCATTCAACTGATTCCTTACACCTCTCATTAACTCCATGACAGCATTGTTGTGGATACATTCTATTTTCTGCAATCATAATTGTTGTTAAATTACAGTACTTGAGTAAAATAAACTGTTATCAGACGTTTCCACTGGTGATTAGCAGTCATACCAATTTGTCCTTAATCATATTCCCAAGCTTTGAGTCAGCAACAGCCAAGGTTTCATTCTCACAATGGGCACGCAAAAACTTGCGCAGGCCTTTACTAGCTTTACTTTCAATTAACAAGGATGCAGCCTCCAGAGCTTCAGACGTGTTCTCAAACTTAGAAAATGCTTTTAACTTGACCACCTAATGGGATGCAATGCATGGTAAACTTCACAGGTCATTTAAAAATTTAAGCACACATAACAATAATATAGTCAGCGCATATAGGCAAAGAAATAGAACCTTTCTAGCCGCATCTACACTGGAAAATTCCTTCCATAAGTCCTGCATAAAAATATTTCATATAACAGAACAATCAGACCAAAGCTTAAACGGTAAGCAAAATTGGAAAGGTAAAAAGGATATATTCATATCTAAACTATCATCAGATTTAGCGGGAACCTAGACAAGCTTAAGCTTCTAAATAAAAACCAGCAATTTGTATCGTCCCAAGTCTTCCAAAACATGCATGTCCTTCTTTCTTCTTGGAAAAGGAAGATTCAGTGTGAAAGAAAGAGATATGAAATAGAGAAACATGCCATCTTTCACGGATGCCAGAATTGATGCGTAAACAAGAAAAACCCAAGTATCAAATGGCAGTTATCGAATTGCTGTTTGAGTATGGTCGCAACCTGAACTCAAACCCAAGGTGTTATTGAATACGTAAAACGACGGTAGCAACCCAACTTTAACAGAGTTTTTCATTGAAGGACACGCAGTTTTCAAAAGTAAAACTAAGACAGCATAGGGAAAAGAAAAACATTTTGTATAGGCAGGCCTGCAAATGAGACCAAAATCACGAGGACCCTTGATTAGCTTGCGACAAATTGAAAGAAAAATAACCTCCATGCAAGTTTTCGTTCTCTCAACATTATTCGAATAATTACCTCTACTGTAGAAAGCTTCCCTTCATCAAGCACCTTAAAAAGGGCAAAGCCCGCCGGCGTTTCGAACAACACAAGCATTTTCTCCTCACCCGAGCAAACCTGAAAGTAAGGGGAAAAGAAAACAAGTTGTCCATCAAAAAACCTCCCCAAAATATAATCAACATACAAAAAAATGAATATTTTCATGAAGCACAACTCACATAACCCACTACACTAATTACATATGCGTCCCACAAGAAAAAAGCACTTTCCTACTGAAGAAAGCACTTCGTTAACCCGTTTTCGCCTATGGGTACATGAGAAGCTCCAACCCAATGCAGGAATCACAGCAATCAGAAGCAATATGAATGAAAATTACGAACTATATGCTCAGTAATTTTCAAAAGGCTTTAACCGAAGCAGTAAGTAGTATATAATGAAATACAACAAAACAAGTAAGCAGCTAACGTAAAGAATGGCAGAAGGGGGCAAAGAAAAAAAGACAGTGCATGTTAAGCGGAAAGAACATACCCACTAGGTGAGTAAAGATTATGACTCCAAGGGTTTGAGTATTTGGGACTGCGAGAGAACTTATTGGAAAACTCGGCGCAAATGCAGAAGCCAGGCGGCGGAGCAATTTGGTTTTCTCGCAGAAAACATAAAAGAAGCCATTCAAGAGAGTGGCGCTAAAGGTTATGCCCACATACATGGGCCTCATCTATTTGGGCCACCACTATGCATGCATGGTTGGGCTTCACTTATTTGGGCCACCCATAAGAAGTTCGTTTCAACTTCTGGTCCGGAAAATACAAAAATGAAGGAATCCAAAATAAAAAGCCCCATTAGTCTGACAAATGTGATAAAATTGTGTTGCAATATTAATACTAAGAAGCAACAAGGTTGATACTAAGAATCTTGCAGTCCTTTTTTTATGGAAATACAAAGATTAATGTGTTTTTCTTGAGATCTAAAGCTCCAGCATATTTCTAGAAAATTGAATCATGTCGTTGATGCTCTAGTTAAAGAGGAACTATCTATTTCTTCTACTTTGGATCACTACCCGAAACATTTTAAGAAATTGTGTTTGAAAGATAGTTTGGAATTCAATTCCCTCTTAGATTAAATTTCTTTTTTTTTGTTTAGACATGTTGTCTTTTTTCATTTGTATTTAAAAAAAAAAAACAAGATTGTGTCTAACAGAAGGAACTAATTGAATCAAGATTCAAATACTTAAAGGTGTTCATATTTTTTTAAAAAAATCTCTCCATTACCAGCACTACTACCATCAATCACCATTTATCATAGTACACCATAACACCAATATTGACTGTTAGAGCTCTGATACCGACAACTAAAAAATCATTAGAAAGAAGGTAATTTAAATATCAATGTCTAATTCAGCTCAAAAAAAAAATATCAATGTCTAATTTATTTTAAAAAATCATAATTTTAATTATATGAAATGAAAAAAAAGTGTTCAACAGTGACAATTTTAATTTTGGTTTAAAGTGTTAGTGGTGACTTGAAAATCAATGATTACTTCATTTTTGAAAAATTAAAATGATATAATTAATTTTTGGAACTTCACAAATTACACCATATGCTTCCACGAGGATGCAGACTATGGAGCTCTTATAAGGCAACGGTTTGTCATTTAAAAAAACAAAAGAAAAAGGCAAAAAAAAAAGGAGCAGAAAGGGACAAAGCAACAGTTGGTTAACTGTGCATTCGGGCAGGGGTTGAAGAAAGAGGAGTAATATCGGGAAGGAGACAGCGTTCATGCAAATGGAGCCAAGGCAGTTACGTCTTCTTCTCTCTTCACTCTCCGCCACGTACTCTCAGATGTGTCACACCCCTTCTCTCAGCTTCTCCTTCTTTTCTCTCCTTTCTGTCTCTCAATCTCTCTCTGCACTCTTGAGTTAGTTAGTCAAGTTAAGATGAACCCTCCCAGCCTTCTGGCTTCGGCCGCCATTAACATTGGCTTGGCCTTCATCATTCTCTCTCTTTTCTCCATCCTCAAGAAGCAGCCTTCCAACGCCACCATCTACTACGCCCGCCGCCTTGCTCACCGCCACAGCTTCGTCGTCCCCTCCTCTGCCTCTGTCCTCGCTCGTTTTCTTCCTTCCGTCTCTTGGATTCCCCGCGCTTATCGCGTCACCGAAGATGAAATCATTCAAACCAGTGGCCTCGATGCTCTTGTCATCATCAGACTCTTCAAGTTTGGGTCAGTTTATTCATTCTGTTTCGGCGGTTTATTCTTCTTTCTTTATTTCTTTCTCTGGCGATCGCATACCGGAATTTAATTTCTCTGGGATTTGATTTCCTGCAGAATACCATTTTCTCGTTGTTTTCGTTCTTTAAGGCGAGTGAATTGAATATCTTCTAGAAATTGAATACATCAGATGCAACATTTTAATTATGACGTGTAAAATTAACAGTCTGTTGAAAAGAGTCAAGAATGCGGTGCCAACTTGGAAATGAATCAACCACTTGGTTTTTTAGTTAAAAAATGTTTACTTCTAATGTTGTTATTGAGAATTTTGACAGCAAGCACTTGATAAGTATATATAGTAGGAGAGCATTCGATTTTTGTCTGAGTTCCCGGAGTTCGCGTAGATTTTTACCATTATTCTTATTATATATCATATATTTTTTAATTTTAATGTTCCTTGCAGCATCAAATTTTTTGCGGTGTGTACTCTTGTAGGATTGGTGGTACTTCTCCCGGTTAACTACGGCGGTGGGGATGCTTCAGAAAGAAATTATTATTCAACGGATTCGTTTACAATATCCAATGTTAGTGTAGGATCTGATAGGTGAGAATGTCTTGGCATCAGACAGTCGTAACTGATAATACCTTCTGTACTTTCAATTAGATTCTCATTCTCTGATGAAATTTTACACCCCCCCCAAAAAAAAAAAAAAAAAAGAACTCTCCCAAAACCAAAATAGGTTGGGGTTTGAAACCCCAAGAGGTCGTTTTTAAAATTTGGCTATAACATTGTGAATTTCAGTCATTTTAGATCAAACTGAGTTGCTACAAATGTGTGAGTGTGTGTATGGGTGTATATTAACCAAAGATTATCATGGATCTTCTGCTGCAGTAATATATGCCTAGATGATAATCTGGTGCACAACTTTTGATACACAGTGCATCTAAACAGATTTGGCTTTCTGCTTTCCTTGCAGGCTTTGGGTGCATTTTGCATGTTTGTGTTTCATATCTTTCTATGGACTGTATCTATTGTATAAGGTACGTTTTGAAGTTTGATATCTACAGAGTTCATGTCCATGTCATTTGTACAAGTTGTAAGGTAACAGGTGCTTTTATGCATCCTTCCATCTACAGGAATACGATGAAATTTTGACCAGAAGGATTCAACAAGTTCACAAGATAAAGAATAGACCTGATCAGTTTACCATTGTAGTCCGTGAAATTCCCTTGTGTGTCGAACATAAGGCACGTGGGTGTTTTGTTGATCACTTCTTCTCCAAGCACCATCCCTATACATACCACTCGAATCAAATGATATATGCCGCAGAAGATCTTCAAGCGTTGCTGGTAAGAGATGCCCTATTGTTCAGTCTTTACTCCTGATACTCTGTCTTCTTTGTAGTGGGTCCTCTCACAGATTTTATATTATATGCAGAACCAGGCAAAATCTCTTGCAAGAAAAGTGGAGGATTTGAGAGACACTTCCAAGGGCAAGAAGCATAGGAACAAATTTTCACTCTTTGAAGCCTTGCAACACGATTCTTCTAAAGAAGCATTACTTGAGGAAAAGCTTCAAGCAATTTGTCACAAGATTCACCAGTTACAGAGTGAAGATATGCTCAAACAAAAGGTAGTTGGTCAGTGTGATGCTCACAGTTATGTTTTGCTTTGAATGAGAACATTGCAATTCATTTATTTCTCAAAGGCCAAAAAAAAAAAAAAAAACTAGAAGAAAAGAAAAGAGAGAAAAGAATTGTTAATAGACTTGGTGTTATAGGGTGAATTGTTTCATGTGTTAGGAGTTGCCAGTTGCTTTTGTCTCATTCAAGACCCGCTCAGGTGCTGCGGTAGCAGCTCAGTTGATGCAGCACTCGCATCCACTTCTTTTGATTACTGAAATGGCTCCAGAGCCAAGGGATGTTTCATGGAGGAATATGAAAATACCATATAGAGCGGTGCCACTTTACAGACTTGGTGTTCTTATTGCAGCATCACTGCTTACAGTTTTCTTTATCATCCCTGTTACTGCTGTGCAAGGCTTAGCCAAATATGAGAAACTCAAAAAATGGTTTCCTCCAGTCATGGCTGTGCAGTTAATGTAAGATTCTTTCCCTTGGATATGATATTTTGGCATCCTGTACTATCTTGTCTTATTTTCTTCTTCCATTATGTTCTAGCACAGAAAGTTTAGGAACAAGACTGAGAATGATAATTTCTCGTGCCATTTGCCAGGCCCTAGAAACCTTCAATTGGGTTTATTTTGAATCATCAACCAAACGCATAGAAAAGATAACTACCGAATCATTAAAACTATTAATATGAGTCTCTCAAGGAAATCTCTTACTTTTTTTCAAATTAAATTTCTTCCCCCAAATTTTTTGTGGTTTTATTCTTTTTCTACAGGCTCTCATATGATGTAGACCCAACACAGACAAAAGTATTGATAAGGGGGCTATAAATCAAATGAATCTAAATCACTTCTGAGTTTGGATCCATTTGGTTTAACTTGCTTCTCATTATATATATCTGATTGAATGGCTCTGTGACTCTTTCCAATTATGTATCCGTTTTCTATGTTAAATTTCGCTCATCACCCCAAGCTTAGACGCTGCCCGATGCCATATGAGCTATCTCATAGGCCATGTAAGCCCAAACTTCATAATAATGGTTATTTTCATTACATAAAGGATTTTAAATATAATTTTTTTAATAACCATTAACAATGAAACAGGAAATCAAAAGATTTTTTACTTAGCACTGCATCTATTTATCTCTCACTTCTTATGTTCTCATTGGTGTCTTAATCAATGGCTTCATCTGAAATAAAATATTTATTTACTTATCCTGTTCTGACACATAACATTTATTATTCTTCAGACCAGGATTAAGCTCAGTAGTGACAGGGTATCTGCCCAGTGTTGTGCTCAAAGGATTCATATATGTTGTGCCCTTCGCAATGTTTGCAATGGCTAAAGCTGCTGGATGTATTGCAAAAAGTAAGGAAGAGATCAAAGCTTGCAATATGGTTTTCTACTTTCTGGTTGGAAATGTGTGTTCTTCTTGAGCGTCTTGTCAGGATCTCTGCTAGATGTGCTTGGGCTATTCATCAGTCATCCTAAGAATATTCCAAGTCACCTTGCCAGGGCTGTGTCTGCCCAAGTGAGTTGGTTTTGTTTCTGCTGTTCTAAGCATATTCTGCCTTCCCTGTGTCTTGTATTTATCTCTATTTTCCACATAATGAGGCACAGTTCGAATTGTAACTTTATATATCCTGGAAGGTCGTTTCTCAATGGTGAGCCTCAGAAATTCGGGGGGAAATTCCCCTTATTGTATAATTAATCAATATAAAGGAATCCGCGCTTATGGAACTTTCCCATTTAATATCTTTAATACTTTTCCAAACAATACAAATGAAGGTATTTCAAATTCTAAAATGATCCTTTCAAAATACCTCATCCAACTGCTATAATTGCTTATATTTGATAACCTGCAGAAGTCATGGCCTTTTCACTATCTTGTTGCAGGCAGATTTCTTCCTGACATATATATTGACAGATGGTCTGTCAGGGTTTTCTTTTGAGGTTCTCCAACCTGGCTTACTAATTTGGGATGTTATGAAGTCTTGTTTTTGTGGGTGCCGACGAGACAAAAGTCCATACCTTTACTCTCTGCCCTACTTCAGAATTATTCCTTTGGTCTCTCTTTCAATACTAATTGGTATAGTGTATGCAGTTGTAGCACCATTGTTGCTCCCATTTCTTATTGGCTACTTCTGTCTAGGCTATGTTGTCTATATCAACCAGGTAAGTTTCTCAGCATGAAAAGTTCATTCATTTATCTTCTACCAAAAAACTGTCCGTGCACATGCGCTTAGAAAGACATATTTGGGATTTGATATTTGCTGATTCCAACCACTTAATTTTTTTTATAATATAACTTTAAACTATTATGAAAAGAGTGCTAAAATAGAGTTATAATATCTCGAATATGTGTTTTCCGACAGAAGTTTTGGACGGGAAATGTGGACAAGTCACGTGCTTGCCACTCCTAATTTTGGAGCTTGATTTTGGTTAAGAGAATGGAGGTGGCAATGATATGATTTCTATTTATTTAGTCATAGATGCTCTAATTCCATTTAAAAGAGTACTTTTATTCAAAGCATTTTTTTGGAGAAAGGAACATGAACAGTTTTACTATAATTTTAGGATGCTAAAGCGACAGAATGATGACATATATAGTTTCCATCTCCTTTTATGTCTATTTTGTTAAATTTTGCAGTCATTCCATTAGTTTTAGACTTTTTAGTTATTGTTGTGTTGAAGAGATATAGATATTTTGCAGATTCAAGATGTGTATGAAACGACCTACGAGACATGTGGACAGTATTGGCCGTACATTCATCACTACATTCTTCTTGCAATCATTCTCATGCAGGTTACCATGATTGGTCTATTTGGATTGAAATTGAAGCCAGCTGCTTCCATAGCAACAATTCCACTACTATTGTTCACTTTGATGTTTAATGAGTACTGCAAGATGCGTTTTCTTCCTTCCTTTCAACATTATTCTCTCAAGGTACACTTGACAACACCTTATGCATATTGAAGATGGCTAGAATTAGCTTATTCTGGCCAAAGCTTAGATTTACATTCAGTATTGATTTTCAAATTGTTCTCTTTGTCTTCATTCAGTAAATTATATTTAGGTTTCTCCATAAACTCAATTTCCCAGAAGGATGCCTCATGAGTCACTAGACTCGCTCTGCTCCTTCTAGCATCAGATGAAGTGATCTCATGTTTAGAATGCAATAACTCTGGAGGCACAATAATATAATCAACTTCTTTGTCACTATTTTTGTAATTTGGCGTGTCTCAATGGATCTTTATTTATTTGTGGGAATAGGATGCAGCCGAAAATGACGAACTTGATGAGAAGTGTGGTCTTTTGGAGGTTCACAGTGAGAATGCGATCAATGCCTATTGCCCACCAGGCTTACGACCAGTGAACTTAATGTCATCAGAGTCTAGCTCCGCACCATTAGTCTCCTCTGCATGATCTTTTTATTTTCTGAGCACCTAATGTCAACCCTTTATGCCATTGATGTCTCATTCATTCTCCAAATTCAGAAAGGATACAATTTCACAGCAAAGGTAATGCAAATGGACACTTTGATAAAATTCAATATGAAATTTATTCAAGTTTCGTTCATCAGAGCCAGATAAATCCTACATGCGTCTGGGTCTAAATCTACATGCATAGCTAATATTAATCAAGATGAGACAACAATGAATATATGGGAAATAAACTTATCAGGGGAACTGCAACATCATATCTAATGAGATGATTCGCCCTTTATGATTGTTTCCCAATAAGCATTATCCCATTGCTCTCTGTAGCTGTCTTCCATGTTTCCTATCTTTTTCATGCACTCTGCATACATGCTTTCTCTCCACTTGTCGACTGGAGGCAAGCCTGATTCTTTGGCAAGCCATTGGCTGTACCCAACCTGAAAGAAGGATTTGCAATCATGTAAAATTAATGGGATTGGAAGTTATGTCTTCCACATAACTTTTTTACTGAATAACCTATCAGATGATTATGATCTATTTTTCTGACAGAGTGAAATCTTTTTGAGAAGTTGGTATACAGACATGAATACCTCCTCAAAATACAAGTAATGAGTACGGTGCTTGGGAATCCCAATATTCTCCAATCGCTGATAGTATTCTTCAACATAATTCATCATCTCCTTTTCCGTAGGTATAAGGACTTTACCAGATAAAACTCGTGCCACCCACTTGGATTGTAATTCCAATTTTTGGAAGATGATCGCCTGTTCAGAGTCAATTCATTCATTTCAACAAATCATTAACCTAATTTGGAGTGCTTTTCAAATTTTGTTTTTTTAAAAAAAGCTTTTACATTTTCATTGCCATAAATAATAACATTGCACCCACCTTCAGTGTGGCCGAACAAGATGATATAGGTTGTAAGCAATTAAAGATTAAAGATTAAAAGGACATGTGAAATACATTCTTGAACAGGTTGTAAGCATGAGTAGATCAGGTCAGTAAAATATAGGTGAACCGAACAACTATAAGCACATGTGTAAGCATCACTAGCACAGTTTTCAGAGGGATCCTAGATTTGACAAGACCTGTCTTAAAATGATCTATGAGATTCTCATTCGCTAGACCTATCTCTTCGTATGCATTAAATTATACATAGATGAAGTTCCAAAAAAACAAGCTATTTCTTATCAGACACACCATTGTTTGTTAAGAGTGTTCCCCGTATCTTCTATGAAAAATGAAAGGCATTAAAAGAACAAATTACTTTTTTTTTTTGGGGGGGGGGGGGAGAAAAGGAAGAAAAAAGGTGGGAAAAAGCTACCAGTGACCTTTTCAGGTATGCAATGATGAAGAGAGCCAAGGAGCTAAAGCAGGAGGAAAGACATGCTTGTATAATGGTCCAACACGATTGCCATCAATGGTTACTATTCCATTAGTTTCAAGGAATGGATAGTTGTACTTGTATCTGAAAAATAATGCCACAAAAAAATTGACTTGGAACTTGAAATTGAACCTGTGAAATAGCTTCCGAACACTATATATTGTACATATATACTGACCCAGTACAATAGAATATGACATCGGCAGACACAGATGATCCATCCTCAAACACAACCAAGCCATCTTCAGATGCACATTTGACCTGGAAAGAAAAGTGGCCATGGAGATCAATAAGCAAAATTTGCCGATTATTCCATGTTGGAGATGAAACAACCTGTCTATTTCCTAAAATCTTTTGATACCAAAAAAGAATATGTTATCTAAATATAAGGTAATTATAATTATAAATGAACTAATAAGCTATCAACGTCAATTGTTTCACATACCATGGGATGCTGCCATATATTATCATGATTTGCTAACTTCGCAGACTTCACATTTGGATTTCTTGTTGCTATGTGAACCTCCTTAGCTACTCTTGCAACGTCTCTTGAGATATCAAAGGCACTGGGTCCAAATCCAATTACGACCACGCTCTGTTAGGAGAAGATTATTTTGCAATGAATTATCGGTACATATACATCCATTATCTAGTCAAACTATGCTGTAAAATAACCAAATAAATATGCGTATATAGCACCACTGAGTGCTTTCATTAATGAATCAAAATATTGATGGGATTTTTTTTTTTTTGAAAAAGAAAGGAAACTGTGAAGATCTGGATGGCATATATGGCATACAGAATGACAAAATGAAATGAAATAAATCAGCACATTAAAAGTCCAAGAATGAAGTGTAATAAGTGAAATCAGCTCGAAAGATTATATAATCATTCTCCAATTTTCACTTCACAACTCGAGTTATCAAGGCACCTCGACTATGCTGTCTGAATTGTCAACCTTCAATTTCAGGAGGCCAAGCCAGACTGCATCAGACACTATTTGAGATAAATAATGACCTAATTGGATTCCAATCTTAAGATAATTTTTTAAAAAAATTTAAAAAAAAACACTCTGCCGGGATGGGAATTGAGGTTTAAAAATTTAGCATATCAAAATAAATAAAAAACAATAGAATAGATTTTGATATTGGTTTCATAATCAGGGTTAAAAAGTAGCATAGGAACCATGATGACATATTTTACACTGCAAAATTGCTAGTAAATGATCAAGAGGCGAGTGGGTCACAAGTGTATTAGCGGGGAGAACAAAAAAGACATCACTTTCTTCAACTTCTAAAGTCGTCTTCAAGCGTCATAGTCTCATTTTACCTCTCATCTTAATTATAAGAGTTAGTTGACTAATTTAAGGAGATTAAAGAAATCAATTAAGTTAATTATTTGTAACAAATAAGTATTTTTTTCTTAAAATATCCTTACTAATTAAGTGTATTGAGTATTGACTAGAACTACTATTATTAGAAGGACTATTTTGATAAAAAAAAATATAAATATGAGAGATAAAGTGGATTAATATCTTATATTAAGAATTAAAATAAAAGTCAAATAAGATTTTATATTAAGGACCGGACGAAATATAAGCTAAAGAAACTTTTTAATCAATACAGATTCTGAGCCAAGGAATCAACGTCGTGGCAGTTAGGAATCGATACAGATTCTGATACGACGCTGGCGGGGAAAAAAAAAAGAGATACAGATTCCGATACCAATTGAGAGGATTATTTCAGTCAACAGACACTTTCGTGTTCCCTTGATCAATTCCTAACCAACGGATAACATGGATAGTGCAAGAAAAGAGGAAAAAATGTTTAGGACCTATTTGTTTCAACTTTTTAATGGAAAAATCAGTTTAAGAAATTTAAAATGACTGATTAAACTTTTAAAAATAATCCGAATCTGTATCTTAAGAATTTATTTTAAATAGCTTGTGAGATGTAAAAAGACGTTTAGGATTATAACCAAATGCAATTAACTTCTAATTTTCGTAATAAATCATTTTTTACTCATATTAAATACTCCTCCGGTCCTAATTATAAGACCCAATTGACTTATTTGAGGAGATTAAGAAAGTAAGTTAAGTTGGTTATTTATAATAAATAAGTGTTGTCATTCCTAAAATATCCTTGCTAATTAAGTATATTAGCTAAAACTATCATTATTAGAAGGATTATCTTGGAAAAAAATGCATAAATATAAGAGATAAAATGGATTGGGGTCTTATAATTAGGACCAAATAAAAAGTCAAATTGGGTCTTATAATAAGGACCGGAGGAGTATTACTTAATCTGGGACCCCAAAAGAAAAATTACCATTTTATGATTTTAATATTAACTCTTTCATTTGCAGACATGCAAATGTTACTTCTTTTTAGCGGGAAGATATGCAAGTTTATCACTTGGAAACGATAGATTTCAGAGTACCTGATTGCGAAATGGTTCGGGTACCCTGTAGCTGTGGCTGTGAATCTGAAATCCTGGCCACTTCTCAATACCTGAATCAAATCACTCACGGAAACGTAAAACCCATTAATCAACTCAACTTTTTGCAGAGATGAGCTTTTGAATTGGTTATTTGGTTTGACCCATGCATTTCATTATTAAACCATTTCTCACTCAATATTCAATCTAGAATCAATAGACCAATCGAATGCTCTACCTGGAATTTGAGCTATTCTTGGTTCTGTGAAGTGACCCGAGCACACAACAACTGCTTGAAAAAAGTCCTGAAACAAAGAATCGCCGCCGCCGCCGCCACGACTCTTCGATTGAATGACCCACTTGTCATTCCTCCCATCCACTCGCTCGATCCGAAGCACTTCTCTGTTGAATCGAATCAGCTCACGAATCCCAAAGTCATCAGCGAACTTGTTCAGAAACCAGAGCACCTCTTCGTGACCAGGAAAAGTTCGCGGGTCCCCGTTCTCGCGATTCTCGGGAAACGGATAGTCCAGAAAACCCATCAATTGTCTGGGAAGATTGGTGCGTAACGAGAGGTAGAGGCTACTGTGGACGACTTCCCGTGTTGGGTCCATGCCAATTGGATCGGACTCCGTTAGCGGATCGTATTTCCATGTACCTCCGATTTGATCGCTTTTCTCGAAGACGACGACCGTATGGCCTTCACGCATAAGCTCGCGGGCGGCGCAGAGACCAGCAGCGCCGGCTCCGATTACGGCGACATGCACGGATTGGACCATCTCTGGAGTTTAGTGCAATGATGGAGCTCAGAGACGAGAACGAGGCAGAGAATCCATTGGGGCCTTTTGATGATTCTCATTTAAAGAGAATGAATGGGGAGCCTTTTGGTTTGGTGAAACTGACAAAGAAGAAGACAAAAACGATGATTGTGCCTGGAATTCTATGGACTCCATGGCTGACCGGTGATAGTCCACAAGCGAAGCTTCGCTATAATGAACCGGCTATATTATACATTTGATACTATTAATGATTATCAATCATTCATAGAAGTTCATGCAATAACTGGAATTCTTGGGTGCATGCCGCTTAATTGAGGGATATGAGGGGAAATAGCGGACGGGAAATGAAAAGAAAAGAAAATACTCCCTCAGTTCTATTATATAAATTATATAAAACCTTTATACACGTTAATATATAAGAGTTTTATATTTAAGACGTGAGAAGTATCAGGAAAGAAGTGAAATTACATAGGGAGAATAAAAAAAACTTTGAATTTTAAAATTTAAATTAGTGTTATTTACTATACTTTAAAAGTAATTAACAATATTTAAAAAACATATGAAACACATTTATGCAATCATTCTTAGTTTGAGATTTTAAAATTTAGAAGTATTTTTTTAGGATTTTATATGTAGTGTTGTTTTGATACTTAATAGTCAAAAAGAAGACAACTTGTCTTAAAATAATTATATTTTTATAAATAAATTTATGTTTTAAATTTCATGGGTTAAAAATAATAGTAATAAAATTGAAAAAAATATTTATTTATTTATTGTAATGCTATCCGTTAATTATATGATTTATATATATTACCTTCTCTTCTAAGTATAAGAGCTAGTTGACTAATTTGAGTAGATTAAAGAAATAAGTTAAATTAGTTATTTATAATAAATAAGTGTTGTCTGTCCTAAAATATCCTTATTAATCAAGTTTATTAGCTAGAATTGCTATTATTAAAAGAAGTATCGTGAGGAAAAAAAATTGATAAATATGAGAGACAATATGGATTAGAATCTTATATTTATGACTAAAATAAAAGTCAAACAAGATCTTATAATATAAGAAATAGTTTGCTCAATATGATTTTTCCTAAGTAAATTCAGCCATTTCAGGAAGGTGAAAAATTTGCTCCTTAACAAAAAATGCTGGGATGATGCCATTTGAGCTCAGGCTCATTTGCTTAAATTAAAATTCCAAAATGATATTTAAAATACTTTTAAGTAATAAATTTATTATTTTTGTTGCTTATTACACTCAAGTCTCCCCATGTATGAGATAACTTGAAATTCTGTTACCTCGATCACAAAGTGTAACTGTAGAGAAAATATTCGACTCATCGAAAGAAAACTACGAATTTCAGGTTGTGTGCGCACATAGGTCAATAAACAGAACATAGACCTTATCAATAATTTTGTATTTTAGTGATATGAAATCTTATGTGTAAATAAGAGATTGCAAATTTGATTTCGCTTATAACATCGTATCATTGGCTTCTCATGTTTTAGTTTAAAAAACAAAAGAACACAGACTTTTTCAAAAAAGTACTTGTGGTGTGATTTGATAAGAATAGAGAAAGAAATCAATTTCGCTTTTGTTATAGACTAAAACCCTAAATTACACGATAGCCATCAGTGACTTTGGAAAATTTGACAATGGTCAATGGCTCCTGGAAGTATTTATGCCTGATAAGAGTGATTAATCATGTCTTGTCTTAGTGCCACGTCGCTGTCCTAATTATTTTTAGAATGGAACATGACGAAAGTGAAAGAAGAGAAAAATGTTTTGAGACAGAACGGGACGTGGGATAAAGCTATTATGTCCTAATATATTATATACTTTTTTTTAATTTTTATGAATTTATTTAATTTATCATTGTATTAGAATTAATGTAATGATATTTATCAATTGTTATTTTGATTATTTGTTTATAAGTTATTTTCCAGAAATTTAGAGGTAGTATTAAATAAAAAAATAACCATCATTAGGTTTTTTAATTAGATTGTAAATATGAACTTTTGTTGGGTAAAGGATTGGAGAATTGTAATGTTATTGATAAAGCAAATGATGGGCAAAGCCACACTTAAGTCATATGATTGTCCTTTCCCTCTTGCAGGCAATAGTCATGCGGCAAGCAACATAAAGATGGAATAATAAAAAAATGATTTTTTTAAAAAAAAGAGTGATCAGTGATGTATGAATGGAAAATTTCATAGGGCAGGGTCTAATATGTTGTTATGAACTAGAATATAAATAAAATTTACAGTAAGCTGTATTATTTTCAGGGAAAAAAATAATTATCATACATCTTATGAGGGGTTTTTAATGGAGGGAAGAAATGAAGAATTTTCAATGCATATAATTAAAAATGATATCCTAAGAAAATCAACACACATCCCTTATAAATCATTAATCAAACTATTTTTTAATTAATTTTTGTAAATCAACTATCGAATTTTAAGAATAGTACACACCTGATGGGGACAAAGGAAGTGAGTGCGATGTTTGGGGATTTGGTTCTGTTCTAAGAATTGATAGAATTTCTGAACAGAATCCATCATGAAGGTTTTCGGGCATATCTGGAGTCTGCAATGTAATCAGGTTGCCACACGGAGGTCCGATCACGGTGACGGAGTCGGATCTGATAAACACAGCAAATGCACCGGAGGGAAAGTTTTTGCAGAGAGGGAGGGAGGAGTCTGGAAAAGGCAAAAGATGAGAAAAGAAAACCGAACGTGTGCCTCAATAACTAATGCTACGGTTAACTTATCCCATGCATATTTTCAAAAAGAAAACCGCCTCCCTCGACATAACTGTTCCCGCTTTAGGCAAATTTATGTAAGATGGCAAAAATTGCACTTTAAGACCCACAAGTCTTATTATTTGCACCAGGACCTCAAATGATAATAGGCTTGGGTCCAATCCACCAAAGGTGGACTGGCCCATTTTCTTACACATCATTTCCTCTATCGAGGGTAATTTAACCTTTCCAGATAACATTTATGCAGCCCATTTGCTCTGCAATTCAAATATATGAATTATGAAATGCCTACATTATATGCCTTTGTTTTGTTAGAGATTATGTCCTTGTTAAAAATAGTACGTTTTAGGGAAAGAAAATTAACTTCTTATCGTATTTTAAATCAAGTCTCTATGATCTTGTCAAAGATCAGTAATATCCACTAAATTCAACTCCTGTTAGTTTTTAACACCGTTTTTATGCATTCATAAATAAAATTTCACAAAATCTATAAATTAAAATTATCAGATCAAATAATAAATCCTAATTTAAACAAAATAAACTACAGGATGTGATTGAAAATTAAGATTATAAAGAGCAGATTAATTTTCTTCTTTTTTTGATAAAATTTAAAAATTTTGTAGATTTACCTAATAGGAGAGGAAGTTCGATACAATAATTATGCTAATTTGATCCTTTTTGACCCTCAAGAATCTGGTAATAAATAATTATAAATATCTCCAAAAGTGTTTTTTTTTCCGGTTGATTCGTGAGGCATGTTTTGGTCTAGTGAGATCCTTGAAGACTTAATATTCATCCACAAATTTCAAATGTTTCATAAGCTAGTTATTTTATAAGTCAATTTATTAGATTTTTTTTCCAGAATCATTATTAATAATGTACTTATGCTAATCCACTAAAAATAAAATTAAGACTGAACATCAATAGTAACTAATTAATAAAAAAATAAATAACATATCATTGCAGTTAACCTAAGCCTATTATATTTTCAAACCCTCGTTTAAAAATTCAAAGGCTGAGTTTGAGCCAACGCAACTTAAAACTTGCTTGTTTTTAATCTCTCTAAACTCATGTTCGAGCAAACGCAACTCCAAAATTAAATCATTTCTTTATGTTGAATATGATTATCCAGACTACATACGTTCTGCGAAATGGGTTCTGAACAATGGCAAAATAAGTACTCCTCCGGTCCTAATTATAGGACCCAATTGACTTATTTGAGGAGATTAAGGAAGTAAGTTAAGTTGGTTATTTATAATAAATAAGTGTTGTTATTCCTAAAATATCCTTGCTAATTAAGTATATTGGCTAAAACTATCATTATTAGAAGGATTATCTTGGAAAAAAATGCATAAATATAAGAGAGAAAATGGATTGGGTCTTATAATTAGGACCAAATAAAAAGTCAAATTGGATCTTATAATAAGGACCGGAGGAGTATTAGGGTTTTAGGAGGAGGAAGAAGAGCGAATAATGGAATCCCAATAAGCATCGTCCCAGTGGTCAATGTAGAAGCGTTGCATTTCCAGGAATTTCTTGATGATCTCACTGAACATCTCCTCTCTCCATTCCTCCAATGCACCAAACCCGCTTTCCTCTGCTAGCCAGTACTTGTAATCCACCTGCATGTTCATCAATTTCAGTTCCAAATAAGAATTAAAATACAAGGACGCCGTGCAATACATGTATTGCTTCTGTGGAATGACGATCAAAGCCCTCAAAAGCATATTTTCAACTAAGGTTTACACTATACAAGGTTTTTCTCTGGTCCTATTTATAGAGTAGGAAAAGAAGATATTTTTTAGTTCTATTTATAACATATTGAGAAAAATTTTGTGTAAATATACAATTTTACTCTTTATTTATTATTGTGTTGACTTTGTTTATATGAAATATAATATACATTGAATAGGGATAAAGTTGAAAACTTATTGAATTTTAAATGAGAGTTAATGAAGTTTAATTTTTTTTGGGTCTATATGAAACATGCTAAAAGTTACTTATAAATATAACCAGAAAAGTAATTTGTGAGAAGAATTTTGTTTCGACTTGCATGAATATACTTATAATAAGCTTCAAACAAGCATGTAATACATCCTACTTAAAAGCTATTTAGATTAGTAAAACAAATGTTTCTACGCTTCAGACAAAACTCTCTTCACATATGTATTTTATTGTTTTTAGGACCAAAGGTAGTATGAAGTAAATTCTAACCGTTCAATGAACAACTATGAGGTAATTTGAAACAATCTTATGTACCTGATGGGGACGAAGGAAGTGAGTGTGATGTTTGGAGATTTGGTTCTGTTCTAAGAACTCATAGAAGTTTTGAACAGAATCCATCATCTCCTGTGTTGAAGGCAATGCAACTTTTCCAGATAATACTTTTGCGACCCACTTGCTCTGCAATTCAAATATATGAAATGCGGGATCCTGCATTCTCATCCAATCAGAGCAAGAGATAGGGGAAAAGA